CTTCTGATTGGGTTTTACACGTAACTCCACTTTTAAAGTCATCCTGCTTGAACTTAAGATGCTTTGTGTCATGAGGAGGGAACCAGCTGAGCTGGGAGGTAGATGGGTCAGGGTGCAGCGTGGAAGTGGTCCTGTCGAACACTTAGGTCATCAGCTGCTGAGCATGACACAGGGAAACTCTCAGTGTGCAGGTGACATTGAACTCTGAAGGGCCTCACGGTGGAAACCAGGTGCAAGCATGGCAGAGCAGGCAGGCGCGAGCTCACCTGCTTGAGAGAAGCAGCACTCCACATGTGGCACGGGGCTTAGGCCCATTAGTTATCTTCACTGGTGGAGAATGTTCCCAGGGACAACCAAAATGCCATTCTGAAGGCAGTTCAGAATAAAACAGAGAACAGTCGATTCCTACAAGCCAGCTGTTCTCAGAATGTCCCTAGGTATCACGGACACAGATTATGCTATCCAGGACACAATTTCTAGTGTCCTTGATATAGTGCTCAGGACTTTTCGGGGGTTATATACCACCATTTTCCAAAAAGGATCAGAAGTCAGTTATACGAATTATAATGGTAATGGGGATAAAAGAGAGATTTTTTTAGGGGAGGAAGCAGGTGAGACGCATGGTTGCTATCATCTGCCAGAACCTGGGCTCCCATCTCTTTGGCTACCAGGACAGAGGGAAACCCTGCTGATCCCAGCCTTCTTGTAGCGAGAAGGCCCAGGTCCTCACATGGACCAGAGGGAGCACCACACAGGCTCTGACCAAGGGGACAGCCACAGCCTTGCCAGTTTGACGCTAGTGCCTGGCCACAGTGTTCTTGTGCAAGACTTGATAAGACAGTGCAGCCACCCTGGTGACTCCAGAGATGGCTGAGGAGCTGCCCTCGGATGATGTGACTTGACCCCAGCGCAGAGTTCTGCATAGCTGCTGGGTTATTCCTCCTAACAATGTTTCCTTCAGGCCGGGCTTGGTCAGCTAGGCCTGGCTGGGGGACCCACGTGGAAACCAAAGAGCAGGCAGGAGGAGGGTCGACTCCAGGAAATTTTGGACCCTGACATCGTTCTCACCAAGAAGGACAGTTTGCCACCTAGCAGTGTAGAGCCCAAGTTCTGCACCAGAAAGCACAGAGAGGCGTTCTGGGACCAACAGCTTCTCCAGGTGGGTGTTCCCCAACAAGGAGCAAGCAGAGCCTAGCAGTGCAGCCAGGACACACCTGATAGTGCAGAACATGCTCACAAGCCACCGGGAGCTAAGCTGCCTGTAGAACTCACCCCGCAGCTTTTGAGTGCCTGCTGCCAGGGTCAGACAGTGGCTGCAGTGATCAGAGGCTGGGGTGACCTTTTCTCTTTTCATCAGTCACTTGCCCTGACCCCGTTCAGTGGTCCTCCCCCTCCTCTGCCAGAGTCTCTCTGCACAATTGACGAGACTGCAGACGGATAGAACAAAGGCACAGCCAAGGAGGAGAGAAGAGGAAATAACATAAGAAAAAAAGCCAGGAAAGACCTGTGCAATGTGTGGGGCTATAAAGAGGCCAAGTGGGTACTCGCTGGGTGGGCAGGGCCCTGCACCCCCGGGCTGCCCACTGCAGAGGCTCAGGGCAGGAAGAGGGAGCCGGCCTCTGCAGGGCATCCATGCTGTCAGGTCCAGTCACTCCTTGTAGACCCTGCTCCACTGCCCTACACAGTACCCATGGGCTCACCGACTGCCACTGGGGTTACAAGAACAGGGACAGGAAGCGTATGGTTGTAGCAGGTGCTCTGGGTGCTGGGGAGGGGGGCAGAAGAAGGGCTTCACATGCTGCCATTGCTTGATAGTTGCATGATAGACTGACCGTGCCCTGCAAGGGCTTCAGCAAGGAGAGAGGGGAGAAAAACCTGGCATTTTGCACCTGCCAAGGTACCCACGACAACCGAAAGAACGAGAAAAAGGAAGAGGAGGAAGAGAGAAGGTGGACAGAGACCAAGGAGACTGACCAGAGCTGCTTCGCAGTGACCTACTTTGCTGGTCAGAGCCCCCAAGGGACTCGGACACTCCGCGGCCCAGGCGCTGCCTGCCTAACACAGAACTCTCATCGCCGGTGAAACACGGGGTTTCACAGGGTGTGCAGTGTGTGGGAGGTAGGTAGAATAAGGGACAGATAAGACTTTTTTAACTTTAAGTTATATTTGGAAAATTATACAAAGGAATTGGATACACTATTGCTTGTGAGGGCCTGAATACTTTGGAGTAAACCATTTGCTTTGGCTAATACTCCCTAGTTTTGACCTACAGAAATAGCAGTTCCATACGTGTTAGATTCTCCCTATCGTCACTGAGAAAGGGCTGTTGGGAGCCACAGCCCCAAGGGGCGGAGGGACAGTCCTGTTACAGACCCGGCATCCAGTGAGCACGTGGTGCTGCCCAGACGCATGTGGGGCACATGCAAGTGGGCAGAAGTTTCTTGCGCTGGAGTCAGCGGGGCCTCCTCCTGGCTGTGCTTTCTCTCTTGGGTCCCAGCTCTTTTGAGCCTCCTTGTTAGTTTGGTGGATTTTTCCCTTCCTCTTTTCAGGAGTGTCTTCTCTCCCCCGCCCGCCCCGCCGCTGAGGCTTGCTTGCATAACAGGTAACAGCAGGCGTTTCCTCGTCCTGCAGCAGGACGTCCTGGCGCCCTTCAGTCTCTCCCTGGCTGTTTAAAACAGACCCAAGCACAGGAAAACCCAGTTCTAAAATTAGCCGCGCGGGAGAAGAAAGGCACATGGCGCTCTCTGCACTGTTTGTCAGCGAGACAAGTCTAAACACAGCCAATGCATTTCCTTTTTGGGCAAAACAGACCTGTCGGAGTGATGGTTGGACATTGAGGGGGAGAGGCCACCTTGGAGGCAGGAGGAGTCACCCGAGACTCCAGGGCCCACCCCTTGGAGCTTCTGGCTTCTTCCGCAGGCCCCTCACCTCTCTGACAGATTTTGGACAGAGCCTGGTACAGCCTTTTCAGAGGTTGTGCTTTCCTAGAAACACTTAGCACAGTAACTCCCCCACCAGGACAGGGCCCTCAGGAGACCTTTGGCAGTATCCCCTCAGCATTGCTATAAGACAAATCAATTTTAGCTAATAGGGGGCTTTTCCCCCATTTTGATTTTTTAGAAATATATTATTTGGAAGCAACACTATCTTGTCCTGAAATAAGAGTTTGCAAGAAGTAAGCTGTCATTTTTGACATGCCAAACCCACAGTAGTTCTAATTCCAAATATGCGCCTCGAGATTTATTAAGAAATGTAATGATCAATTTGATTATCCTGCTAGAAGCACTTGTTTTCAGAATCAGCTGACCTGTTGCTTTTGTTTCTTTTATGCACTAAAATATCTTTATTTTAATCCAGCTCTTCCAATCAAATTTCCAAAATCTTCCATTTCCTTCTCTAAGGGATGGAGTTTCAGATAGTCACACATAATAGAGATTGGTGGTATCAGTGAGATGGAGGAACACTGTTTCTTTCTTTTATGGCCTTGAGGTCAGCAGAGGGTAAGTGGGTAACTCTCCTACACGTGTCCTATCATATGGAGCATCTGTGTTTTCACGCATAGTCACAGAGCTGAGGTGCAGCTCCTATTCTGACAGCAAGCCCTGGGCTCTCCCACTCACACCCTGCAATGCCCCCCTTCCTGCCTCACCGCCAAGGGGAAGTGACTTGCTGGGGACCATGCCACGCCACCATGTTGTGAATGGCGCTCAGGAGGGCCCAGCTTCCTGGTTCCCACCAGGCACTTTCCAGCACACTAATACCTGCCATGGCCTGTCAGCCTCGTTCTGGAAATTGCGTTTCTTAAGGAAGATCCATTATTCCTAGAGTGATTCCCTTCAGACTTCCTGCCACTTCCTTTGTTGAAATGTACATTCAACCTTAGGAAATGCTCCTGTTGTGTGCTGAGAAGGAAGGGCGGGTGGGCCAGCTGAAAACATGCCACGCCCAGGACCTGGCTGAGCGTGGCCACCTCAGGTCTCCATGTCCACAGGCGCCCTGAGCCCACGTGGTCCTAGAGAGTAGCAGAATGCCCGAGCTTCCCCAGGTGTCATGATCCTTAAAACTCAGTGGGCAGGATGGAGCAGCATGCAGAGAAATTGGCAGAGGCTCCTCTGGTGGCTGGGGTCGCAGTTAGACAGCCACCAGGGATTCCACCACTCATCAGGAACCTCCCAGAGCAATTCCACAGTTGTTTATGACGGTGCCACCACACTCACCCTTTGAAGATGGCAGGTGTTGTCATGCCCTGTCCCGTCTGGCCTACAGTGACTGCTGGCTGGTGGGCAGGAGGTGGGGTCCAGTGTTGAGGACCCAGCGCCATACAGAGCCGGGCTCTTGCTCCCCACACTCAGGTGGCGGATCCAGGAAACTGAGCACATCGTTATGGTCCTGCTCTGTGCACCATTGTTAGAGCCAGGACAGGGCATGTGTGCCCACGTGTGCGGACACCTCGCTGTCCACATGGTCGGTGTGTAACATGCTAGCATGTTCTCTTTACTTTTTGCGTGCTGCTCTTGAGAAAGGGCCTGCACTGACCCCAGGTGCGGTCCCAGGAAACTGCATTTACAACAGAGCGTGTGCCCTGACTTCCCATTTGTGCGCTGTGCCCACCAGCTGGGCCAGCAGTGGGGGCGTGGGGTCAGGCAGGCTCTCCCGCCTCTGCCCAGAGCAGGTAGGAGCCCAAATCCAGGCCACCCCAAAGAGCTGCAGATGGACCTATCAGATACCAGGTCCCATAGAGTTGGAAAAGCAAAGCACATTTGCCTGGTGCACTGGCGCCACGTTTAAAATGGAAGAGAATGTGACAGAAGGACAAAGCTGGGGGTGCGTCCTCTGCACCCCTCAGCCTGTGTATTTCTGTTTTGCTCTTGCCCATGGCAGTGTGTGGGGAGGGAGGATGACCCATGGCTGCTCGGGGCAGACTGCACCTCCCTGCCAGGCTACCAAAGGTTCTGCGGCCCTGTGACCCTGCCCTGCCCGCCTGCACCAGGGGTACTTACTCGCCAGCTGGAATGCAGCGGCCATGGCCTCCTCCCAGCACTGGGAGTCGGACGACAGCAGGGGCAGGCCCGTCAGCCCCAGCACGAAGGTGATCTGGCCCGCTGCAAGTGCCGCCGTTGCCACCAGGTTGCAGGCGCGCATCATGTCAAACTGTACTGCGGGCCAAGGGAGAAAAAAGGCAGTCAGTGGGATGACTAGCTCAAGGAGAAGGCGGCAGACGGGCCAGGCTCTGCCAGTCCTCCCTGATGGCCACTTCCCGAGGAGTGCCAGTCCTCTCAGTGCCCGGCACTCCTCGGGAAGGGCAGTAGCACATCCGGAGCCTTGTCTGCACAGAGCTGTCCCGGGCATCTCCCTGACCGCTGAGGGCTCATCAGCTCCCGGGTGTGGCTAGAGAGGTCACCTCCCCCCTGGGAGAGGCCTTTCTCTGTGACATGTGTCTTTGTGGGATAGCCGTTCCCCCCAACTCAGCACATACCAGTGCCAGTATGGCAGGGTAAATGGAGGCGAGCTGTGCCATAGCAACTGGCCCCACACTTGCGTTGGCACCCTGGTTAGGTCACTCCGTAGCTGCTGGCAACAGGGCCCAGCCCATGTCAGCTGCTGTCTGGCATGTCAGCTTTTCTGATCCTGGGAGGTCAGTGTCACTGTCCCTTCTCGCAGATGAGGAACACGGGCCCCATTACAGTGAGTGGCTGGTCCAGGCCACTCACAATCCACAAGGGGCACAGCAGGAGCAAACCCTGGTCTTCCAGACTTGGCCCCCGTCATTCTGGTCCCTTGGCATCCCCTCCTGCTCACACCTGCCTCGTGCCCTGCTCCTCTTCCCCCCCACCCTAGCCTGGTCCCAGGAGGAAGTCTGCCAGGGACTGCAAAGGGAGGGCGCTTCGTGCCATAGACTTACAGATCCTCTACTTCTTCCTCAGGAGCTTCCATGGGAAGCCAGGGTGGCAGGAGCAGGTTGGGCCAGCATGGGTGGGCAGGCTTTCTGGCCTTAGGTATGTGATACTGCTTTACCTCCGTGAGTTTGTAAATGGTTAGAGATAGTGGTATAGCCGCTGTCACCAGTATCAGTGATTCCATATGATCAACCCAAGCATTTATTGAAATGCAGTTTGAATTCACGGAGTAGTTTTAAAGCTCCTGAGCATAACACACACGCCCTTCCCCCGCCTCCCAACCCCTTGGGCTTAGCGCCTGCCTCTGCTTCCTGCCTCCCTCCCTGCCTTACCCAATGCTCAAATCTTATCCTCGGGGGACATCTCCCACCCTCCCTGATGGAACCCCCCAGCAGTATGTTCTACCACATTGCTGGGCACACAATGAGCAGCTCTGCCCTGGGTCCATGGGTGTCTGTCCCCTGCCCATGTTGCTGAAGCCCTGCCCCAACCCCTGCTGTCTCTGTTCTCTACAATCGTCAAGTTCCTGAAGCCAGCACTCAGAAAGCCACTGCCCCATCCACTCGGACCTCCTCGCCTGCAGACCAAAGGCTGAGCCCCAGCATCGTCCTCCTGCTCCTCTGATGGCCAGGTTGGTGGGCAGCCACTTGGAGTGGAGAGGAGCTGCACTATGATGCAGGCTTGCGGGAGAGTCCTGACCTCGGCTCTCCTCTGTTGTGCTTGCTGGCTTGCAGCTGTGCTTTTGGGAGCTGCCTGTGTCCAAGGGGTCACCTCCACCCAGGTGAGGGGTCTGTGACAGTATCATCGAGAGACACTCAGAGGAGGAACGTCCCACGTGCTGGGCTGGCAGGAGTGTGGGGTGGCGCCTGGCATTACTGAAAAACCTCTGTGCACCGTGAAGTTAGGCCCCCTTCCCTGCGGGTCTTTCTCAGACCATTCAAGTAGCGTGGGGTATCCACCCTCACTGGGAGAGTGGAGCAGGGACCTGCCGTGTGACCCTTGTCTCTGACCAGGAGGCCCCACGTGTGCCCACCCTGTCTTCAGGCAGGGGTGGCGTCTGTGATTCATGCTTCTTGGTGGACAGGGTCTATATTTAGGCTTGTGGAGTCATGGGACCTTTCGGAGACATTGTGCCACTTCCCACCACCACGGGTCAGCCCACCTGCCCACTGTGTCCACGTCCCCTCTTGTCATTCGAAGCCGGGGGGAGCTCGCCCTTTTTGGGTCCCAGGCTTTTCCGGCATGCCCGCTCCAGCCTGGGGGCCTCGTGCTCACGGCTTAGAGAGCTGCAGACGCACGGAGCTGCCAGCTGCTGGGGTTAGAGAGCTGCAGACGCACAGACCCCGACATTGAGAGAGAGAGACTCCAGGAGTGTCCCCACCAGGCGCGTCCCCACCTGGGGTCCCAGGGACGCAGTCATGGGGCCCCTGGCAATGCCTGCGGATGGGATCTGAGGCTTCCTTCAGGAGCCCCGACTTCCCGCTGCTTGTTCCTGTCAGGTCCGGTCGCTCAGGGTCTGTTATAAGTTGTCAGCGACCGAATGGCCCAACGCACCCATTCGTTTCCTTAGTTCAGTCTGGTCGGGCTCATTCATGAGAAGCTTCCGTCGGTATTTCCGTCGTTTGAGAAGGCATTCATTGCTCAGACTCATTGAGGGTCAGCTGCCTGCAAATGCAGTATTAACTGCAGCAGCAACTGACCAGGTGGTCAGGGAGAAGCAGCGATACAGGGCAGGAGCCCTGTGTGGCCTGCTGGCCTGAGGTGACCAGGCCTCAGCAAGTGGATGGCAGGCAGATGGGATGTATGCCCAGATGCTCCAAAGACTGCACCATCCACCCAGGACTGCAGAATGAGTGCTTCCGGCCTCCCAGGACATCTGTGTGGCACTGGGGGTGGCAGGATCTGGCAGCAGTCAGGAGGCCTTGGGGCCCAGGGCAGGACTGGGGGGGCTGATGGGCTCCCTCCCCCCAGGTGGGGGGTGCTCTATGGGACGGAGAGGCCAGTGCTGGTTCCACAGCACAACGAGCGCCAGGAGCCCTGCTTGCCGCCTGGCCTCACCTGCCTGAGCCTCGAGCCCTCCAGGACCATGTGGGGCTGCTGCCTACCCAAGAGGCTCTGGCTTTCATTCTTAGAACAATCCAAGAATCCAGAAGGAAAGTTGTCTACCAACAAGGCCTACAGAGACCCAGGTTCAGCTGGGTTTATCTAGCTTCCCAAAAGACCCCTGAGTTCTGGGAGCTCGTTAGAATTATTCACATGCTCTGATCTTTTTTAAGAAGAGGGCTGTTGCTACCTGCTCATGAAGGATGCTGGGAGGACCTGACCAGGCCCAGCAGATGGGGGCCGAGTTCCCTGCGGGCTCTTGGCAAGCCTTGTGCTTCCTGCCAGCCTCAGTTTCTTCACCCATGAAATGGGGGTGATATTCCCCACCAGGTTTCGAGCACACAGCTGGGTGGGGACACTGTGTATCACTGGAGGATGGCTGGGAACTCTCTGAAAGCATTCAGCAGACACATTGCCTAAGCCACACATTTTCTTATGTTGTCTTTAGAACACAAAGGGGATTCAGCATTGAGGTCTGTGATGTTCTGCAGTAGACCCCAGGCCAGCCACTGTAAAGGGTCATCATCTGGGGAGACCTTGCATTTCAGCAGGCATGGCTGCTTACCTGACACATTAGGTAGCAAGTGAATTCATATTTATGGAACTCTTCTTTCCTGTACACACAAAACTGCACTCTCAAAGGCAAGTTCCCAACTTCCAGGGTAGTAAATAGACCCCAGTGACACGCTGTGACCACTCAGGCCCCAACAAAACTGCTGGGGGTGGGAGGAAGCAGGTGGCCCCCGGCTCTGAGTCTCTCTCCTCTGCTCCTCCACTCAGTGTCTCCTGCTGTACATCCCCGGGAACCTCCTGCTACACGGCTCACAGCCTTAAAGACCCTGACAGCCGTGGAGGTGAAGTCAGAGCTCAGTCACATGTTTTTAAACTCATTTATTTTACTACTTCCAGCCGGGGGAAAAGGTCTTGATGTGGGTAACGTATCGTCCTTCAGCCACGCAGGATGGCAGAGGAAGCCCAGCTGCCAAGATGAGTCCCATGTAAAGGAGCCAGGGGCACAGTCTGGGCAGAGCAGAAGAGGCCATCACTCACCACAGACAGGGTGAGCGCAGCTCCCACCTTCCCTGGGATACTGGGTGTCCCCCCTCCTGCCTGCCTGGAGGCCACCTTTGGAGCAGGGCTCAGGGCCTAGGGCCTGAGCACAGCCTCTCCTCACCCGCCCACCACACACACACCTCCCGTCCCCTGTGTGCTGATGAGCCCCAGCTGCTCTGAAGGTGACAGAAAAGTGAGCAGACTTACGTTTGACCGTGCCTCGAGACTCCTGGAAGCCCGCCGACTCGGAGCCCCAGCCCAGCGCCTCGCAGTCCCGAGCATCTGCCTGCCCGGCCCTGGCCCCGGGGCCCGGCCCTCCCCGGCCCTTGTCCACCAGCCAGCAGGACCTCCAGAGCCCCACGCTCCGCTTGCGCCCATCCTCCAGCGTCTGGTACACCCAGTTTGGGGTGAAGGCTGCTGCGTTGTTGAGGATGAGAGAGACGAGGGCGGCCAGCACAGCTGTGGCCACGAGTTTCTGGACAGTCATAGCTGTCCGCCGGTGCCGTCTGTTTATCACAGAGAAAGTCCAAGTTCCAGTCGGCCACCGTGAATGCAGATAGAGCCGGGCGCTGCTAGGGGAGGCTAGAGAACATCGCCGCTCATTCTCAAAGCAGCGCAGGCGGCACCAGCCAGGCAGACGAGACACTCGCCCGGAGGTGTTGGGAGAGACCCATAGGACAGGTGCGGGTGAGCCCACCTCACGGCCCTGCCTTATCCTCCCTCCTGCACCTGGAGCAGCGCCAGCCCTGTGTTAAAGCTGGTGGCCGCTGTGAGGCCCATCCCTGGGAGGAAACAGGGACACCAGAGAGAATCCAGAGTCGTGAGTGCGCCGTCTTCCTGGGAAGCAGAGGCCAAGGGAGGCTGTGCCAGCGTGTGCCTCTTCCTCCTGCAGCGGCAGAGAACAGAAAGTAACTCGAGGGCCTTAGGACCAGCCGTGGAGCCAGGCTCGGAGCAGGGCCACGGGGGCAGCACAGGTCTGGTGGCCGCCTCTCTGCTGCCTGGGCCCGCGTCGCAGTGCCTCTGCCACGGATGGCAGGTCCTGGAAAGCAGAGTGCCTGCTGCGAGGAAGTGTGTGTGCGAGCTGGAGTTTTCCCCGTCCCTCAGCAGAGAGGAAATGGTTGTTTTTGAGGCTGTTTTTGGTGAGCTGGAGGGCGTAGCCAACTGCAACAAATAGTGGCCCAGCCACAGCAGCCAGACACTAACAGGATGTGTTTCCTGATGGGAAAGGCCTGGGGAGACTTCTGAGGCCCGGCTCCAGTTCCCCTCTGCTGCCCCTCCCCACCTTCCTGCCACAGAGGAGAGGCCAGGGATGCTGGCCCAGGACAGGCTCCTGACTTACCTACTGCTCTTGAGCCTGGCCAGCCGCCAAGATGGATGCCCATGCTGGGCCCTGAGGTCTGGGGACGCTGCAGACCCCTTGGGAGAGGCAGGGCCCTACGGGACCAAGTGCCCCCTCATGGACTTCACATGCACCCAGCCATGAAGTTGTCCCCAGCACAACAGGCACCATGAGCCCATGATGTGCCAGGACCTGTTCTCATCAAAGGGATTCTGTTGTTGGGGGTGGGGGACACAAATGTCACTGCAGGCACAGTCGGCAGAGGGACTGCTGGAGGGAGCAGAGAGGGTGGGGCATGGGGCAGGGTGCCCCTCAGACAGCTATCCTCGCCAAGCTGAGACTCACATGCCTCGGGGAACAAGTGTGCCAGCCCTGACGTGTCAGAGGCTCACACTTGGAGACAAACATCATGGAGGGTCTCACGCTCTGTGCCCCATCTCCAGAGACCCCGAACCCAACACCATGATTCCCACCCCTCCAGGGCTCTGAGGCTTTGTGAACGAATAGAGATGCAGGTTCCCACGGCTCTGGCTAAACCGTTCTTAAGCACAGGCGCCCGAGACATGCGGGCAGAGAGTTCAGTTGCCAGCCGAGGCTCCAGGTGGTGACAGTGAAGCTTCTGGCCTGCTTCCTGTCCTCACGCACTGCTGTGCACGGGGCTGGCCAGGCAGCTGTCCTGAGAGCTCCTGTTTCCTGGGACTGGGACTTTAGTCAGACGTTCATGTGTGGCTCTGTGTGTCCACGTGTAAGACAAGGCTCCTGAGAAGCAGAGGCTCTGTCCTCGACCAGCTGTTTGCAAATCTGGGTCCTGAGAAATGCTTGTCCATCAATTCCTTGTGGGGTTTTTCCCACTGGAGTTTGCAGATGATGTGTCCACTAAGTCCGTTTCTACCGTCCCCTCTTCCTTGGCTTGTGTCAAAGGACAGTTGTGGTTTCCGTTGTGATTCTCTCGCTCCATCCTCTCTCTGGTCAAGTTCCTGACACCAGGAACTTGACAGGGCAAGGGGTACTGTCTGCCCTTGACTTGCTGATGGCTCAGAAGGCCCCCAGGGGGGACGTCCCTTCCTTTCTGTGGCAGACTCGGAGTGCAGCGTCTCCGTCCCTCAGCGTCCGTGAGCACTCAGAGCTGCAGGCTGTACTAGGAGAGACTCCATTTCCATTCTTAATGATGTCACCTCTTTCTAGGTCATCTCTAAATGGCTCACTTCCAATAGAAAGCAAGCAGAGTTTCAAAACCCAGAGGACATGTTTGTCTCAGAAGTAGCCCCTGGGCCAGCTCCATCCAGTGCTTTCCTTGGGCTGGGCAAGTAGGAGGCCAAGGCCAGGATCCCACCTGGGGGCGGCCAGACCTGCAAGACCTGGCTCACAGCTCGCAGCACTGTCCTCCCTTACCCACTGGCAGCTCTGGGGGGTCCTGTCAGGCCACCAGGTCCCTGTGCCTCAGCCATAGCCCAGCTTCTAGCTCCTGGTGGTGTGGGAGGCTGGCATAGCCCAGGGCACAGCCTGGGAGCAGAATTTAAGTTAGGAGTGATCCTCCTGGGGTGTCCTTGGAGGGTCTTGGCTCTCATGTCCATCCATAAGACCACATGGGGGCTCCATTGCCTCCATGTGGGCTGTTCCTGTTCTCCAGTCGTGGGAAAGGCCTCTGCAGAACAGACAGGTCTTTCCAGAAACTCGACCATTTTAAGGCCGCCTTCCTCTGCTGCCACATCTGCTGCTTATTTTAGGCGCCTCTCAGAGCTGATGAAATACAGATGGGAGTTACATTCCATAGACTGGCCCAGACAACAGGAAATTCTCAAGACTCGGATGGGGACTAAGAGGGTGTTTACATCTTGGAATTCATGTCAGATGCGTGAACCCTGGAACCCCACACTGGAGATGGAGCCGGTCCTGGATCCTCAGCAACCTGTGCCTAGAATGTTGGCACACACACTGGTGGCCGTGTTCTATGGAAGTCTGCAGCTACTCCTGGATTCTAGACTTCCAGTGGTTCTGAGTTCAACTGGGTGAGGGGCCCTCGCCCTCCCCAAGGCTTGCTCACAGCTGCCTCAACCAGTGGGGAGGGGTGCCCTTAGAGGGGCGTTCCAGCTTTGGTCCCCTTGGCTGGGGGCTACACTTCCAGCACAAGAGCCCCCGCTCGGTGGAGACTGAATTCCCAGGACAGACGGCAGTGTGAAGAGAGCTGGGCGGTGTGGAGATGTGGTGGACAGGTCCTTTGCCGCACACATGCCCAGTGAGGCACAGCAAGACCCAGTCAGGTCTCTGGGTGAGCAGCCATGGTGGGCACAGCTGCTACTGCATAGGAGAGAAGGGGCCACCTCGGGGCAAAGGCAACCCGGCTGTGCCCAGGGGTCACTTGCCAGCCTCAGTCCCCAGACTTCTCTGCTGTTTCTCCTTTAGTTGGATGTGGACGTGAGCCGTTTGCCTTCAAGACAAGGTAGATGAAGGGGGTGACACCAGCAAATGGAAGCAACAGCGCTGTGTCCGGTCCCCGCCAGCCCCTGCACACCTGGGCTGGGAGGCATGACTGGGAGAGTCCAAGATACACCGGGTTTGACGTGTATCCCATGTGATCCTGGGCTGTTTATAAACAACTGGCTTTACACCCATGGGTCCTTGTGCCTGCATCCAACCAGCCACCTCAGGATCCGGCAGAAAGACAAGCTTTTGTTTTCTGCTTATTATGAAGAAAGAAGTCTGTATTAGTCTATTTTTGTTGCTTATGACAAAATACATGGAACTGGGTTATTTATAAAGAAAAACGACATTTATTGCTTACAGTTTCTGAGGCTGGGAAGTCCAGTGTCCATCTGATGGTGGTGACAGTGACCCAGGGATCTCACATTGCAAGATGGTGGAAGCAGAGAAAGCAGAGAGAGAGACTGTCATGTGCTCTTCTTTTAAAGCCCTCAGAACCATGCCCCTGACCACCATTTTTAATCCATTCACTATTGCATGGTCCTACAATCCAAGCACCTCTTCAAGACTCCACCTTTCAATTACCATAATAGGATTTCCCACACTCTTAACAGTCACAGTGGGGACTAAGATTCTAATACATAAAACTCAGGGAATTCAAACTTCAATGAGTTTTAGGGGGACACAGTTCAGTCCACTACAGAGTTTAAATGCAGAGAACATGGCTTCTGGCCTGGAGCCTCTGGGTGGCCAGGTGGTAAAGCTGCCTTGGCGGGTCTAGAGCCGGCCACAGCCGCGTCTTCTGCAGGGAAAGAGCTGCATGAAACCGAGCAGGTTCCTGAGATTTGATGCCTCACGGCTGCTGATGGTCCTTTCCATCCTGAAGCCGGACGGATGAGGAAAGCAAACCAGCCTTCCTGAGGAGGAGGATGGGTGGCACTGCCCAGGACCGGGCCCCTCTGCAAAGTCCCCAACTGACCCTTCTCCAAGCTGCAGGGTGTGGTCCTGGAGAAGCACAGGGTGCTGAGCCCAGATGGTGGGGGGCCAAACTCACTTCCAGGTGCCTGAACGCAAGGTTGGAACACTTCCTGAGCAGGACTGGCTTTTGTAACACCCTCACACCCAGTTCCAGCATGGCCACATCACACCACAGGGCCAGTGGCCAGGCCAGGCGTTACCATGTAACTCCAGCGCAGTCTCCTGCTACAGGTAGTGGCTGCCAGGGGCCAGCTGTCACTAAAATACACAGGGCATTCTCACATCTAGTCCCTGAGCAGCACGAATCTAGTGAATTAACCAAAGTTCTAGCAGGACCCAGTCAAATCCAAAAACATACCAAAAGTATACACTGGCCTACAGCAAAGGGCACCTGATTTGCGGAGTTTCACCCACAGGTCGCCGCAGCAGTTTCCGTCCCGGTGCATAAACCCCAGCCTCAGGACATGAGGGACCTGAGTGCCTGGCGCTTCCCTCTCGGAAGCCGTTTCTGCTCTGCTTCTGCCCAAGTCGGGGGACCTGGGGTGTGGGCCGCCCGTTTACCATGGAGCCGCCACAGTGGGGCTGTGATAGCTCTGTTCTCTCACAGGACACCCCCACCCTTGTCTTTCCACCTGGAAAATGCCCGGCTGTCCTTCCACTCACCAGGACCATGAACCAGCCTGTCGTGGGCAGCTCGTCCCTCCAAGTCCCTTAGTGCTGCTAAGTCCACGACCAGTGGGGAGAGAGCAGGCCTTCCCCACCTCCTGGGAGACACTGTAGCCTCGGCTTTATTTGGAGGAACAGCTGTGGAATGTGAGGGAGGGCCTGAGTGAGGTCCTCCGTGGACACTCCTGTGCTGGCCTGCCTGGGTGTGCAGTGTGTGCGCATGAGCACGTGAGCATGCTGCTGCAGCGCTGCTCGTGTGGCATCTGGCTGGGAAGAGGCATGGGGCAGAGAGGAGACGATGCAACAAGTAAACTTGTCTCCTTTGTCTTTGCATCGTTCAGTGACCACACTGAGTTGTTCAGAGATGGTGTCTTGAGGCCTTGGGCCCTGAGTCCACTTCTGAAGACACAGGCTCGACAGCATCAGGGATGGGTTCACAGGGGCTCTCTGTCAGACTCACAGTGGACCACCTCATAATGAATGAACAGAAAGCGTCCGCTGCCCAGCCCCACCTTGAGACCGGCCAGGAGCATGATACCCAGGCACCAGTGCTTCTTTCCCAGGGATGGCTGTGTGCAGCCTTTGCCATCCCTGGGGCCAGCAGTCTTGGTCATTTCTAGGTCCACACCAAGCCTAGCAATGTACTGAGCAGGAATTTGGTTGACCTAGCAGAAAGCCTAGGTCAACATCACAAGGGGGAAACACTAGAAAACCTTGAAAAGAGAGTGAAATACCTTCTGCTTGTGTTCTGATGGAGCTCACCCCATCTTACAATTGCATGAAACTCACCAGCGTACATCATGGGGTGTGTGAGAGGGGATGTCTGGTCTGTCCCCACCCTCGGCTTGCTCTGCAGGCCACCTGGCCTGTCTCTGTGCAGAGGTCTGGGCTCCAGAACCCAAGTCGAGTGGGGTTTGGACCCCGCACCACACCTCTCCAGACTCCACCCTCTGACTGATGGGCAGTGGTGTGAGGGGTCCCTCCATGGGGTGGAAGGGCACTTTAGTAGGGGCTCTATGGAGTCTCAGCTGAGAGGAGGAGGTTCTGTCTCTGACCTGACCATGTGCATGACAGAGGAGCCAGGGCTGCCGAGCAGACAGGCTGGCTGAAGCAGGGAGGAGAAGCAGGAAGTTGGTGACCTGCACCAAAGATCATTCCATCACCAGTGGGACCCCGGCTCCTGTCTCCTACAGCCCTTGGGATCCAGGAGGTCATGAGATGTGGCACCTGCCTGGCTCCAGGAGCACCAGCTGTGGGACTTTTGCCTCATCCCTTCTCCGGCAATGGGAGGAGGAATGGGAAGGCCCCTGCTGTCCCCACGCACCCTCCTTGGTGGCAGAATGTTGACATTGCTGGGGGAGTTGGGGCTGCAGGCTAACACGCACCTCCTCTGCCCGCAGTGAGGCTGTCTGGGAGAATATGGCACGAATGTGTGTGAAGACCCAGCGGCTGGATGTTGCCAGGGTGTGCCTGGGGAACATGGGCCATGCCCGCGGGGCCCGAGCTCTGCGGGAGGCAGAGCGTGAGCCGGAGCTGGAGGCCAGAGTGGCCATGTTGGCCATACAGCTGGGCATGCTGGTGAGTCAGGTGCTGCCCTACCGGGACAGACAGACAAACCCCTCCACCTTGCCTGGAGGAGGAGTGGGATTCACCCACCGGCCTCCACTGGGCCTTGGTGCAGAGGCTGGGAAAGCTGGGAGATGGGCAGTAGGGCAGGGGCTGGGTGGCTGTGGGTTGTCAGGGTCTGGCTCGGCCCCTGGGGAGAGGTGCTTGTTGGGCCACCTGGCTGCACCAAACAGAAGCCCCCCAGGCTAGCTTAAGCGCAGGGGAGCAGGCCCCTATGGAGACCCTGAGGCCTCTGGTCCCTATGGGGCCCCATCCTCCCCACCTCCTCATCTTGCTATCCCCAGAGGGGCCCGAAAGGGCTGACAGAACTCCCAGCATCAGACACCATGTGGGGGCAGTGGGGGCAGACCCTCCGGGAAGGGGGCTGGGAGCTGTCTCTGCATGGCAGGAGCACCAGAGTGGGCCCCCTCATCTGCAGGGGGGTAGGGGTGATGCAGGCAGTCTCTTAGGACACACAGGCCTGGGTTACGACAACGCGTACCTCTCCCTCTCCAGCTGGGGGACACTGTGTCATGCAGGCGTGTGGCATGGTTCCCAGAGGTGACCTGGAGCATCCATATGCCCGTGGCATGTGCGGTGCATCTTTGCTGTGAGCTCTGCAGTGGGGCAGCATCTCTCCCGGCATGGGCATGCGATGACACTTGCCGCCTCCTTCCACAGGAGGATGCCGAGCAGCTGTACAAGAAGTGTGAGCGCTACGACCTGCTGAACAAGCTCTACCAGGCCTCAGGCCAGTGGCAGAAAGCCATCGAAGTCTCTGAGGTCCACGACCGTGTCCACCTGCGCACCACCTACTACAACTACGCCAAGCACCTGGAAGCCAGTGCCAACTGCAGCCTGGCGCTCAGCTAGTGAGCAAGGGGCACGGGCAGGGGCTGTCGGGCTTAACCCCAGGCCAGCCCCGGCTACTGCCTGCTTCTCTGTGCCTGTCTGCACCGCGGTGAGGGGCCAGAGGGTCTCCTACAGGAAGGCTCTGTCTCATGGCGGTCCGGCCTCCTCTGTGGGAAGTTTTCATGAGTTCCGTGGTTTTAGGAACACCGCAGAGGCCTGGGGGCTGCCCTCCCTTCCATCCTGGCCTGGCTTTGGTTTTGGGGGCAGGCTACAGAAGAGCATCTGGCTGTACTTGTGTGAGTCGCTGTAACATAGTTTGGGCTTAGTGCCTCCATGAGCATGCAGGAGCCATCAGTGCAGCCTGGCCCCAGTGTGACCCTTTGCAGAGTAGGAGCCACTCTCAGATCTATTCCCACAACCTGGAGTATGTGCTGGGGAGCCCTGGGGAAAGACCTGCTTTCTGTGCAGGGAGCTGCTGCTGCCTCCAATGGGCACACAGGTCCCCAGAGCTCACCGGGGAGCCCACACCATGGGCACTGCTTTGCGTGTCTGTGACATCATCTCTGGGCCCCTCTGGCTGTCGGGGCAGAGATGGGAGGGAATGGGAGCCTCCTGTCTCCTCCCTCCACAGCTATAAGAAGTCAGACACACACCACTTTGAGGTGCCCAGGATGCTCTCGGGGGACCTGCAGTCACTGGAGCTGTACATCAATAACATGAAGGACAAGTAGGTGTTGGGGGCTGCTGGGGTTTGTCTTGGTGCCCAGAGAACACTTGCGCTTCACACGGGAAGGTACTTCAAAACATTCATGGGAAGATTCGTGTTACCTTTCAACTCTGTCTTCCACAGACTTTTTGAAGTGCCCTTGTATGAGCATGCACAGCATCCTTGAGGTCTCTCAGAGCTGGGCATGGGACACTAAGTGGAGCTTGTTCTCTGGGAGAGGTTCCTTGGGCCCTGGGCCCCTTCTCACTGGTCATGTGGAGTGCACTCTGAGAGGGGTTGGGAGCTGGGGTGGGGGCTCATTTCCAGTGGGAGCAGGGCCCTGACAGAGACTGTGCGGCCTGCGGGGCTGCTCTGCAGGACACTGTGGAGGTGGTGGGCCCAGTACCTGGAGAGTCAGGCCAAGATGAACGCGGCCCTGCGCTACTACGAGCTGGCGCAGGATTACTTCTCCCTGGTCCGCATCTACTGCTTCCAGGGCAATATTCAGAAGGTAAGTGCATTCTGGTGGACTTGGCCTGCACAGGTGGGGTGAGGCTGCTGGGTGGGGCCGCAGCTGCCTGCACATCCTTGGGTGTCTGTCCAGGCTGCTGAGATAGCCAACGAGACTGGGAACTGGGCAGCCGCGTATCACCTCGCCCGCCAGTACGAGAACCAGGAGGAGGTGCAGCACGCGGTACACTTCTACACGCGGGCACAGGCCTTCAACAACGCCATCCGCCTCTGCAAGGTAATGGAGCAGGCAGCGCCTGGCAGGCCATGGGCAGGAACACAGTGCCTTGTGGCTGTTTTTAAGATTCTGCTAAGAGGTTCAAACAGGGCTGGCCCATGGCTCACTCAGGAGAGTGTGGTGCTGATAACACCAAGGCCACGGGTTTGGATCCCATATAGGGATGGCTGGTTAGCTCACTGGGTGAGTGTGGTGCTGACAACACCAAGTCAAGGGTTCAGATCCCCTTACTGGTCATCTTTAAAAAAAAAAAAGATTCAAACAGAAAAGTCGTGAGCATGTGTGGAGAACTCTCCTGCCCCCAACTGGTTCCCACCACGCACTCCTCACTCCCCGCCTCCTCCCATCCTTACCTCCACCATCTGACTGAATGATCTCTGGGTTCTCCATAGGACCCCAGGCTCCTGAGGAGGAGCGATGCCTTGCAGACAGGCAGGTCCTTCATAGGAGGCTGTTAGACATTCTGCATCCGTAAAAATGTCTCAACTCAGGGTCTCCCTTCTGGAAAAATCCCCCCCATTGGCTATTTCTTGCAGTGCTCAGTGAAATAGATCAAAAAGCATCTGAAAATCCTGGTACTGACAGACCCAGTAAGACATCAAGTGCAGAAAAACCCTGGTCACACAGATCACTAGCAGCACATCAAACTGAAGGGAGGTGGATTCATCCCCGGACACATTCAAAATCTAAGGTGTCTTGGGTGCAGCAGGCAAGAACTGCCACAGAGCCCTGCCTCCCTCCCTGCAGGAGAACGGCTTGGACGACCAGCTCATGAACCTGGCCCTGCTGAGCTCCCCAGAGGACATGACTGAGGCGGCCCGCTACTACGAGGAGAAGGGCGAGCAGATGGACCGGGCGGTCATGCTCTACCACAAGGTGAGAGGGGCCAGCCCCAGTGTGGAGGCCAGGGACCCTTGACTGTGCAAGGCCCCAGGAAGGCCCAGACAGGCGAAAATGCTCAGGCACCAGGCTTGGGCAGCTGCTCAGAGTCCCACGGCTGTCCACAGGCTGGTCACTTCTCCAAGGCCCTGGAGCTGGCCTTTGCCACCCAGCAGTTTGTGGCCCTGCAGCTCATAGCAGAGGACCTGGACGAGAAGTCAGACCCCGCCCTCCTAGCCCGCTGCTCAGACTTCTTCATCGAGCACAGTCAGTATGAGAAGGCCATGGAGCTGCTGCTGGCAGCCAAGAAGGTACAGGGTCACAGGCACCCCGGGCTTGGCACGCACTCAGGCACCACAGCTCAGGGGTTACCTTTCCCATAGATATGGTGGGAGCAGCTTCGCCATCTCTTTTGGTTACAATTTCTTGAGAAAGGTGGTGGCTGCCCTTAACCTGGATTTGAATGGCTCAGATTTCTGCTGCAAGCACAGACTTACCGTCCACTTCACGTGTGTCTAAATAATAAACTGGGAGAAATGTATTTTACCTATATCCCAAAAAGTTAATTTTCTTAATATTTATTAAGCTCCTGTAAACCAATAAGAAAGTTACTAACAATTCAAAAGCGCAAAGAATATGAACAGTTTATTAAGAAGGAAATATGAATGGTTCCTGAATATAAAATACTTAGCCTTATTCATAGTGAGACACATCAGACCATAACTCAAAGAGAGGATAGTTTGTCATGAATTGGGCTAGTAAAGGTGAAAGGGTTAGAAATAATCCACTAGATTGTCATGGGAAACAGGTATACTCAGGCACTGTGGGTAGGAATGCAGTGGGCAGTACCTGCCAGAAGTAAAAATTATACCTCTCTCAACCCAGCAGTTCCTTTCCTCGGGATTTCACCCTTACTGACACATTTGCACATGTGCAAGTGATGTACGCACAGAGGTATGCTCCACAGAAATGTTTATTATAGCAAAAGACAGCAGCCACTGTGTTCATAAGCAGTAGTTCCTTCAGACGGTGGAATACTGTGTGGCCGTCAAAAAGCAAGCAGCAGCGGGCCGAGCCCGTGGCGCACTCGGGAGAATGCGGCGCTGCGAGCGCAGTGGCGCTTCCGCCACTGGTTTGGATCCTATATAGGGATGACCGGTTTGCTCACAGCGCTCACTGGCTGAGCGTGGTGCGGCCGGTCTCAAAAAGGACAAAAAGAAAAAAAAAAAGCAAGCAGCAGCTTCTCATGTGCTGAGATGGAATGAATTCCAAGACAGAATTCTTTTTTTATCTCAAGACATATTCTTAAGTGAAGAATATAAATTTTTTCCTTAAATTTTAAGAAAATTAAATTAAACCCCTTACTTTAAAAATTTTTTAAAGAAAAGAAGAAAATTACCAGTTTCCTTTTCTTCCCACAAGTATTCTTTTGAGTTCTACATTTCCTTCCTCATATTCCAGAATGTTAATAGCATGAGAGAAAGTAACAGGAATGAGTCTTGTGTCCTGTAGGTTGTGAGTATGAAATGTCCCTGTCCCTTCCACATCTGACGCAGCCACAGACAGTGGCCACCGCTGAGCCATGGGGCCTGGCTTCCTCAAAGGGGTGGCGGATGGGAGGGGGGCACTTCAGCCCTTGGCCCTCCTTCGGCGGCTCACCCGTGACAGCCCCTTCTGGGTTTCAGTATCACGAAGCCCTGCAGCTGTGCCTGGAACAGAACATGACTATCACTGAGGACATGGCTGAAAAGATGACTGTGTCCAAGGACTCCAAGGACCTGTCTGAGGAGGCCCGGCGTGAGCTGCTGGAGCAGATCGCCAGCTGCTGCATGCGCCAGGGCAACTACCACCTGGCGACCAAGAAGTACACACAGGCTGGGAACAAGCTGAAGGTGGGCATTGGCGGGGCTCTCGCAGTCGCTTAGAGATGCCATGCCCTCTGTATGCGTCTCTGTTTGCCTCTGTTTAACCCGAGCAGGGCATGAGCTTTTCTGGCTGGGGTTTTGAGGGGCACCTATGGGGAGCACGACAAATAAGATCTCTCCTCCTGAAACCAGACATGTGGCTGGGTTGTGAGAGCTCATCCTCTGGTTCATCGGCACATGAAAGCCACTTTCCTTGGGCTCCTGAAGGCCTGTCCCCACACACACAGCCCTCAGCCTTGGCTCTTTCTCTGCCTAGGCCATGAGAGCGCTGCTCAAGTCTGGAGACACAGAGAAGATTGTGTTCTTTGCGGGCGTCTCTAGGCAGAAGGAAATCTACATCATGGCTGCTAACTACCTGCAGTCCCTGGACTGGCGGAAGGAGCCGGAGATCATGAAGAACATCATCAGCTTCTACACCAAGGGACGGGCACTGGACCTCCTGGCTGGCTTTTATGATGCCTGTGCCCAGGTACAGACCGTCCTGGGGATTCCATTGGGGCATGCAGAAGGGCATGGAGCCCCGCTGGGTGCTCACAGGCCTTGTCATGCAGGTGGAGATTGACGAATACCAGAACTACGACAAAGCCCATGGGGCACTGACCGAGGCCTACAAATGCCTGTCGAAGGCCAAGGCCAAGAGCCCCCTGGACCAGGAGACCAAGCTGGCTCAGCTGCAGAGCAAGATGACGCTGGTGAAGAGGTTCATCCAGGCCCGCAGGTGTGTCTCCTGCAGAGGCCAGCACAGGGGAGCATGGTGGGATGCAGGCAGGCCTGCAGACCCGCCTCATGTGTGTTGTGCCATGGCCCCAGAGCCCCTGGAGCCCCCGGCACCTCTGTCTGTGCTTCATTGGTTGTTTCTGATGAATACTCTTCAAAGGATTCCTTGGACAACTGGATAGGAACTCAAGACACATCACTTGCTTAAAGTGAGATCCTCTTGGGTAATTCCCTCAGAACATCTGAGATCCTCTTGCGTAATTCCCTCAGAACATCTGAGATCCTCTTGGGTAATTCCCTCAGAACCTGGGCACAATCTTGGGAAGATTGTTCTGGAAACAACCAGAGATGTTGAGAGAGAAATCTGGTGGGGGAGGGGAGGAGGAGGAGGCCGATTTGCGTCAGGAGAAGGTGTGGCTGAGGGAAGCCTTGGACCAACTCAGAGTGTTCAGAGGTTGGGCAGGGTCATCCTGAGTGAGGGGTCGCTATGCAGCACGGGGTGGCAGGGATCCTGATGACCAAAGAGCTCATGCCTCTCCACTCCAGCCTGTGGAGAGGATCCAGGCAGCATGTTGTCTCAGTTTTTAGGAGAGGCCATGAATCTAAGTTTTTATGGGATACCTCCCAGAATTTATCTATTGACAGATAATTTGGCTTTTCAAAGAGTCTGCTGTGTGGTCGACACAGCGTGAGCAGACATCTGAGCCACCGGGGCTCAGCTTCTGCCTAGACTAACAAACATATTTTTTTTATCTGAGAACAGTTTTTCAAAAGAAGAGTTACTAAATATTTTGAGCAGTTGTTGTACAAAGTGGAACTCTGTGGAGGGGCGTCATCCACTCAGGCGTGTAGATTCTGGAGTATCTGCATGTAACAGATGTCTGCTGGGCAGCAGGCGGCAGGGGATAGGCTGGCCCTGGAGTGCCTCCCTGGAGCTGCTGAGCGAGTGCAGGGCCACACAGGCCCTGGACTCTCCTGAAGTGGCAGCCTGAGCCCACTGGGCTTCTCTCACCTGCCCTTCACCAAGTCGTGTTCCAGCAGGTGCATCACCCTGGTCTCGCCCCAGCTCACTAGCCAAACCCTGCTTCTCCACAGACTCCCCCCACTGGGTCACACGTGCTGGACTGTGCTCAGGCTCACTGATCCCTCTGCTTGGAAGGTTCTTCCCACCTGCCTTGAGCAAGGTGGTGGGCCCCTCTCCAGCACCTCTCCACACTTCCCCATGTCCCCTTGCATCTTAGCCTAGAGGTCACTATCCCACTGTAGACTGTTCCCTAGGACAGGAATTGGGGGTTTGAAATCTTTGGTCTTGGTCCAAGCAAGTGATTATTAAGTATTTGGTTTTTGTTGGTTGTCTTGTTTTGTTTTGGGGTTTTTTGGCAGCTGGCCTGTAAGGGGATCTGAACCCTTGACCTTAGTGTTTAACACCGCAATCTAACCAACTGAGCTAACCAGTCAGCCAGTAAGGGTTTGTTGAATGAATGAATAAATTTATGAATGGACAAATTAAGGAATTAATGAGTTAACTAACAGGAATTACCTTCACAAAATATTTAGCCACCCATCCTCCAGAACTACTCCTAGAGGACATGAGCCTGCTCTGACCTCTGACACACAGCACATGTTCTGGGGTTTGGAGCTCAGGCCTCCTCTTTGCTCACGGCAGGACATACACAGAGGACCCCAAGGAGTCCATCAAGCAGTGCGAGCTGCTCCTGGAGGAGCCGGACCTCAACAGCACCATCCGCATCGGGGATGTCTGTGGCTTCCTGGTGGAGCACTACCTGCAGGTGGAGGAGCACCAGATGGTGAGGCCCAGGCCCTGCTCACCGGGAGCATCCCACCATATAGGGCTTCTGACATTCTAGTGTTTGAGAGCTCAAATTTGTCAGTAGCCAAATGTCAGTTACTATTTTCCTTGAAGTGACAGGCCCACTTTGTTCATTTTTGAGAACATACCTGCCACACACCTTTCTGATAACCATAGCTTATCTTTCAGTCACTTTTACAAAAAAGAAATGCTGTTCCATGTTAGTGACTAATTGAGCTCACAACCCGCACAAGTGTTTTTCCTCCTCTTCACCAGCATTTGGTATGATCACTCTTTTTCATTTTTGCCATCCTAGTGTGTAGTGGTATGTGATTGTAGTTTAATTTACATTTTCTTAATGACTACTAGATGTTGAATACCTTCCCTTGTGCTTAATACCCATTCGTATTTTTTTGGTGGGGGAAGGGATGTTGTTAGTTGTGTTCTTATACTTTCTAGATACATTTACTTTATCAGATATACGATTTGCAAATATTTTCGCCCAGTCTGTGAGGAGTTTCCCTTCTATTCCTTCTCTTTCCTCTCCTTCTGGAACTCCAGTTAGTTGTATATTCTGTCCCCTTGCTCAACTCATACTCCTCTTCAAGTTCACCAATTTTCCCTTCCTCAATGTCTACTCTGTTAATCCCATCCATATTTTTTCGTCTCAAACATTACAATTTTCATCTCTAGTAGTGTGAGTCAGCCCTTTTCTTTGTATCTTCCATATCTCTCTTTATTATGCTTGTACTTTCTCTGCCTTCTTGAGCATGTCATGTATGTTCATAATAGCAGTTTTAATGTCCATTTCTCCTAACTATATGTCAATTCTGGATCTGTTTCTGTGGATTGATTCTTATTATGGTTCATATTTCCCTGCTTCTTTTCATGCCTGGTAATTTTTTTTATTGGATTCTAGATATTGTAAATGTTTTAGTTGAGTCTTTGTGTGTGTGTGTGTGTGTTTTTGAGCTTGGTTCTCGAACAGCTTGCTCTTACTTTTGCGGCTTGCTTTTTAGCTTTGTTAGGTGGGTCCAGAAGAGCCTTGAATCTAGAGCTAATTTTACCAACTACCAAGATAGTATCCTTTAGAGAGCTGTGCTCCTCTCAATGCCTAGTATATTGGGAGGCCTTTCCATTCTGGCTGGTGAGAGCATGAACTTTTCCTGGCCCTGTGATCAGTCCCTCAGGATTGTTCTGCAGGATTATTTCCAGTGGTCTTTCCCTGGCCTTAGTTGTTTTCATCACACACATGCACTGTTCAGTACTCGGCAGAAGACCCAGAGCCCTCTGCAGGTCTCAAGTGTTCTTTCTCCCTGTCCTCTCCTGTCCAGTACTCTACTCCACAAGTTGTAACCACTGGCCTCCTCAGACTCTGAACCATTTCCTCAGCATAGGGAGGCTGCTGGCTCTTTGGTTGCCCCCTGCCTGCAGTGTGGCCTGAAAACTGTCTCAAGGCAGTAAGCTGGGCAACTGTATTTATCTTTAAGAAATTCCCCCCTTTATCCCTGGTAATACTCTTTGTCTCGAAGTATGCATAATCTGATGCTGGTGTTGCCAGTCTTTATGTTTTATGCTTAGTGTTGTGCAGTGCACCTTTTTCCTTCCTTTTACCTCCAGCCTGATGGTGTCATTGTATTTAAAGCACGCTGTTGATAGTATGTAGTTGGGTTTTCTAAAATACTGGTAATCTCTGCCTTTTAATTGGGATGTTTTATCTATTTACATTTAATATAATTATTGATATGGCTTGGTTTTAGTCTACCATTTTTGTTTGGTTTGTCTTACCAGTTTTTGTTTCTTTGAACCTATTTTCCAGCCTTTTTTTTTTTCTTTTTGTCCACTGCTAAGAGAAGTATACTTCCCCACCTTCTTATAAATTAATTGAATATTTTTGAGAATTTTATCTATTAGATTTTTATCCATACCTCTCTCTCTGCATTATATTTTTAGTGCTTGCCATAAAAATATAGGGATTACTATAAACATTCTTATCACAGTCTGGTTAGAGTTAATGTCATACCACTTCATGAACTGTGCAAATATATAGGTTCATTTACCCACACAAATCCCCATCTATATTCATCATTTGTATGACATCAACATACATTATAAACATTATAATATAGTGTTTTGTTTAGTCTTTTTTTTTTTTTTTTTTTTTCCTGGTGGCTGGCTGGTAAGGGGATCTAAACCCTTGACTTTGGTGTTATCAGCACCAACCTCTCTCAAGTGAGCTAACCCTGGCCAGCCCAATCATATCTATTTAAAAGAAATTAAAAAGAAATAAAGAGTCTTATATTTACCTACACATTTCCCATTTCTGGTGTTTTTTACTTCTTCCCGGTGATTCACATCTTCATGTAGTATCATTCCTCTTCAGCCTGAGGAGCTCCCTTCGGCATTTCTTCAAGTACAGATCTCCTGAGGATAGACTTTCTTACTTTTTATTAATCTGAAATGTCTTTATTTTGGCTTTTTTAATGGTTAATGGTTATTCTTACCAGATTAAGAATTCTGGCTTTACAGGTTTTTCTCCTTTCAGCACATGAATGTCTTTCCACTATGTTCTGGCCCCCATGGTTCCTGATGAAGTCAGCCATCAGCTTTATTATTGTGCCCTTATGTGTAACATGTTTCTATCCTCCTTCCCCCTCTGTGGCTGCTTTCAGGATATTTTTCTTTATATTTGGTTTTCAGCAATTTGAAAATGATGTCCCTAGTGTTCTCATTTTATATATCCTGAGCTTCATGGACCTGTAAGTTTGTCTTTCACCAAATTTGGGAAATTTGTAATTATTTTTACTTCATGCTTTTTTTCTGCCTCATTCTGTCTCTCCTCTCCTTCTGGGACTCCAATTAGATGTTAGGCCTTTCATAGTAAGCAGACACATTTGTGATTACTGCTTTGTGTTGTTACTTCTGTCTTTTAGTTTCTCTGTGTCCTTTGGGTTAGATAATTTATATTGATCTATCTTCAAATCCACTGACTTTCTTTAGCTATCTTCAATCTATTGTTAACTTTTCAGCAAATTTTTTATTTTAGATTATGTAGGGTTTTTTTTTTTTTTTGTCCTTTTTGAGACTGGCCACCCCACGCTCAGCCAGTGAGCACACCGGTCATCCCTATATAGGATCTGAACCTGCGGCAGGAGTGCTGCTGCGCTCCCAGCGCCGCACTCTCCCGAGTGCACCACGGGCTCGGCCCAGATTATGTAGTTTTTAATTCTTATTTACACTTAGTTCTTTCTTTGCTTAAGTTTCCTATTTATTTGTTAAAAACATATTTTCCTTTATACCCTTGAGCACAGTTATAACTGCTGCTCTAAAATCTTTGCTACTAATTCCAGTATCTGGGTCATGGAGGATTGGTCTCTATTATTTGCTTTTTCTCCTGAGCATGGGTCATGTTTTCATTTCTTCTTTTTTTTTTTTTCCTTTTTGTCTTTTTTTTTGTGTGTGTCCGGCAACGGATCGCAACCCTCAGTGTCACGCCCGTACCGGACCGGGACCGGCAACGGGATTGCAACCCTCAGTGTTGCGTCCACACCTCGCTCAGTCAGTGAGCGGGAACCGGTCTGTATGTGGGATCCGAACCCTCAGCGGGAGCGCCGCCGCATTCCCAAGCGGCGCACTGTAGCAGTGCGCCACCGGGCCGGCCCAAGTTTTCATTTCTTCTTATGTCTTGTAATGTTTTTGTATTGTGGATAATCCATTCTATAGATTCTGGATTCTGTTATGTTCCTCTAAAGAGTATTACTTTTTGTTTGTTTTATTAGGCAACCATTTTTGCTTATCTCAGCGACTAAACTTGCTCCCCTGTGGTGGACAGCAGCTTAAATCTCTGTTCAGTGTGTTTTAGCTTTAGTTGGGCTTTTTTTTTTTTTTTTTAAAGATGACCAGTAAGGGGATCTTAATCCTTGACTTGGTGTTGTCAGCACCACACTCACCAGAGTGAGCCACAGGCCGGCCCTAGCTGGACTTCTTAAAGCCTGCCCCCAACCACATGAATAGTGCAGTGTCAAATAGAGTTTATGGCAGGCTTTATACTCATAACTTGGGCTCCCCTTCTATGACTCTCTCTATTCTAATATTTCTCCCCTCACCTTCCAACTGCTATAGTCAAAAAATTTCAATTCTGGTTCTTCTGGCCAGTAACAGCATGGGCCTCTGTGTACTGTTTTGATGCCCAGTCACCCTGACTGGGGCCTGCTCAAGGCAAAAAGTTATAATAAGCAGGAAACTCGCCCAGTGCTGCCCCTTCTTCCAGCTTCTGCCTGCCTGCAACTGCACTCTCCTGCCCTGTGTGTCTGCCCAGAGCTGCTTGTTGTGGGGGAGGGCTGGTCTGATGAGTCATGTAGCCATGATCAGAAGACTCTCTGCTCATTCCTTTTCAATCCTAACCCTATTGTAGCCAACATAAAGAACTCCCTCAGCTGCATCTTACTCTGTGTTCCCAAGGAGGCCACCTAGACCTGGTCACAGCCCCATGTTCTGCCTCCTTGAGCCACCAGCCAAATTCATCTCGCAGACAGTTCCTGCTGGTGAACAGTGTCGGCGCAGGAGGCTGCCGTCTCCAGAACCCACAAGAAGGCCATTTCTTGGTGGCGTCCCACAGGCTGAAGGTCAGCATGTGCAGCTTAGGCCTCCCAACTAGCTGCCCACTGCCCTTGGCCCTAACCATGCTACCCACCCCTTTTGTTGTTGGGAAGAAATGATTCTAAGTCTTAATCCCAACAAGGTTTCTTTTTTTGGGAGAAGAACTACAATTTTGTATCTAAAAGCAAAACTGGACTGTAGAGATGCTCATGCTGCTGTGTCCTCAAAATTAACAGAAAAATCACATTTTAAATATTTCACGAACTTTTTTGTCTCTCTGCTTGCTTGAAGCCTATGTAATTTAGCAACTTTAAGTACACAAAAACTATAAATAAATTGAGAAAGTGCAGGCATGTGCACACTTCCTCTTGTGGGGACAAGAACCCCTAGTCATTGCTCTGACATCACCCTTCACCCACTGCCGACTCCTCACCCTTGGCTGGTTTCTTGCCACCCACCCAGGCTGCCTGCCCCATCGTCAGAGTCATGTCCTCACGCTGCTGCTCCTCTTGGTGCTGAATCTCTTTGCAGTCCTTCACCATCTTTAGTAACTGTACCTTCCTTGTGGAAACTGCTCCCTTGCCCTTTATGAAGCCAGCTCTGTCCTTGGAGGATTCACATGTGCTGGCCCTGCTGGGTTCAGGCACAGATGGACCCTCTCTGACCACGAGGCTTTTCCGTTTCCTGATCAGCTCTCACCCTCCTCTTCCTCCCTCCCAGTGCCAGCCCTCCCTGAATTCCGCTGCTGCCAACCCCATCCTCCCAATACCAGTGTTCTTGGCACGGCTGGGGTTTCTCAATGCAGCCCTCACCCCATCCTGAGCCTCTCTTCCTCTCCTCCTCCTCGTGTCCCGTGTGCCCTGCCTCGTGCCTGCGCGTGGCAGGCAGTGTCATGGCATCTCTTCTCGTGCAGATGTGTGCTTTGCCCTCTGGCTTGTGAGTTTGCAGAGGGCTCCAGCAGAGGCCTGCTGTAAACACAGTCAGCAGCCTGGTGGTGCCAGTGAGCCATCCAAAAATCGCACTTTGGGGCCGGCCCGGTGGCGCACTGCTACAGTGCGCCGCTTGGGAGCGTGGCGGCGCTCCCGCCGAGGGTTTGGATCCCACATACAGACCCTCAGTGTCGCGCCCGTACCGGACCGGGACCGGCAACGGGATCGCAACTGGCTGAGCGAGGTGCGGGCGTGACACTGAGGGTTGCGATCCGTTGCCGGTCACGAAAAAAGACAAAAAGGAAAAAAAAAATCGCACTTTGTGTTTTCTTTTATGATCATTATTGACACATTTATCTCTTTCTATTTTACCTTTTTTTTTTTTTTTTTTTTAAAGATGACAGATAAGGGGATCTTAACCCTTGACTTGGTGTTGTCAGCACCACGCTCTCCCAAGTGAGCCACAGGCCAGCCCTTCTATTTTACTTGTTATATTCTAGTTACATCTGTTCAAAATAAAATTGCCGTAAGAGTTTTATCATCTTTAAGAAATAGTAAGATAGGACTGTTATTCCTCATAAAAAATTTAAAAGCTGCTAGAAATTTTGGATTAAAAAACACATTCTGCTACATTGTATATTGACAAAATAAAAATTTAAAAAAAAACACATTCTGAATTAATATGTGTACCTTTTGGGTAAACCCTAGAAGCCACATGAAGTCCCAATCCTGCCCCTTATGTTTGTGTGTGCCCCCTCCCCCCCCACCGAAAGATGAGCAGGTATAGGTAGGTGCAGACAGGTGCAGAAAGGTTTAGGCAATGGGCCGGCCTGTGGCTCACTCGGGAGAGTGTGGTGCTGATAACACCAAGGCCACGGGTTCGGATCCCATATAGGGATGGCCGGTTAGCTCAATGAGTGAGCGTGGTGCTGACAACACCAGGTCAAGGCTCACTGGCTGAGCACGGTGCGGGCGCAACACTGAGGGTTGCAATCCTGTTACCGGTCAGTAAAAAAAAAAAAAAAAAAAAAGTGATTAAAATGGTAAATTTTATTTAAGTATAGTTTACTGTAATACAAACATAAAATTAAAAAACAAGACATTAGGGGCCGGCCTGTGGCTCACTCCGTAGAGTGCGGTGCTGATAACACCAAGGCCACGGGTTCGGATCCCATATAGGGATGGCCGGTTAGCTCAATGAGTGAGCGTGGTGCTGACAACACCAGGTCAAGGGTTAAGATCCCCTTACCGGTCATTTTTTTTTTTTTTCCTTTTTGTCTTTTTTCGTGACCGGCAACGGATCGCAACCCTCAGTGTCACGCCCGTACCGGACCGGGACCGGCAACGGGATCGCAACCCTCGGTGTTGCTCCCGCACCTCGCTCAGCCAGTGAGTGGCTGGTCTGTATGTGGGATCCGAACCCTCGGCGGGAGCGCTGCCGCGCTTCCCAGGCGGCGCACTGTAGCATGCGCCACCGGGCCGGCCCTACTGGTCATCTTTAAAAAAAAAAAGAAAGGTTTAGGCAAGTGTAAGCAGGTGCAGATAGGTGTAGGTATGGTACTCTGTCCCACCTCACCCCCCAACCTCTGAGCAGCTGTGTGTGGGGCCCTCCCTTGCCCTCCCACACCTTGCCACTGCAGAACCAGAGGAAACCCCTTAACTCCATAGCCTACTGACCTTGGGTCAAGGACCATTCATACAGGAGATTCAAGTTAATTACAGGCCCAATGAACTGGGGTCAGAACAAGCAAGGCAAAGCATTGACATTGTGGCCCGTCCTCCAGTCGGAGAAGCACTCGCCCCAGAGTGGCTGAGAGCAGTGAGCGCACAGGAGTTCCCCTCGCCTTAGAGGGCTCCGTGTGCCTCCAGGAGAGCAGGTTCTACAGGGACACTGTTCTAGAACGCAGACCCCACCCTTGTGCATGGCTGCTAGGGACTTCAGCTGTGAATGCTGACCACAGCTCAGAGTGTGAGCTGCTCAGGGCCTGAACTGTGTGCTGTCTTCGGACACCACAGTTCCCTGATAAACGGGTGGAGCCTCAGACCCGGGGACCCAGGTAACAGGAAGCCCCCCTCCCTGCTCACTCACCTCCAGAAGCAGGTGCTCTCCTCTGGCCCTCGAGGTAGAGGCGGGTACCTCATAGGTGCTCAGGAAACTTCCTTACAGTGAACAAATGTGGCATCTCCTGTCCTCACTGTGGACTACACGAGGCACTGGCCATCACGCCTAGCTGGGCCCACAAGTAACGCTGTACCTCTGTTCTAGGCCTACAAGTACCTCGAGGAGATGCGGAAAAGGCTTCCCTCCACCGACATGTTGTACTATGTGAGCCAGGGGACTGTGGACGCCGTGCACCAGGGCCTGGGCCTCCCTCCAACACGCATCGTGCCCGAGCGGCTGTGCCACAGCAGTATGGAGGACCGCAGGGAGGTGGATGAGGAGGTGGCAGAGGAGATAGAGAACAACCCCTGATGGCCGCTATGCCAGCACACAGTGGCCTGCTGCTGGGAAGGTGTCTTCTGGAATGTTCCAGTCAGTAGTGGCAAAGACAGCTTTTTTGTTGCAAAAAAGAAAAACCCTCTGCACGGAGTACAGGAGCAGAGCTCTGGCAGGACGTGGCCAGCGGGACTGCGCTCTGCCTCTGCTGCCTCCGCCTTCAGGGGGAAGAGCACGCTTACACTTTTAACCATCCCTTCAGCATTCCTGCCAACAGGGGCTCCGCAGTTCCTGTGGATTTTTGGTTTAGTTCCTTTAAAGGAAGTTGGATTGGTCTTTTTGGTAATAGTCTTCTAACCACAGAGGGTAAAGCTAAGAAACTACTAGAATTTCAAGAACTGAGGCTGCAAACTGCTGCCGTCCCCACGCTTCCTTCCCACACCCATCAGATGGTTGCCAGGCAGTTCCCATGGGCCTGTCCTGGACAGGTGCTGCGGCAGCCTCATGGGAGGCAGGATGGCCTGCGCCCTGATGGCTACGTCCCACCCACTGGCTGCCGAAACTCCTGTGACTCCAATAAAGTTTTTCTCTGATGTATGCCCCTTACTGCCCCTCCCCGACCCCATTTTCATGACTCCCCCTCACAAGAGTCCCTATAGGAACCAATGGTCCCCACCCAAGCAGTGAGAACCGCAGAGAAAGTCTGTTTGAGCACCTGCAGCAGCTTTTTATTCTTCAGGGGACACAATGTTAAGAGGCCCACAAGGGCCCAGAAGGAGTGACCCTGCTCTGCCTGGCTCCTGCAGGAGCATATTGGGGGCTCTGAGCAGCAGCACTCTCCCTACCCACCTTCGGCTCCCTGAGCCCACTGGTCCTGCCCTCAGGAAGAGTCGCCTCCTCAGCCGGTGCCCCCAGCCCCAGCTTTCAGGTTGCTGTGCCCTGTAGGGGCAGTGCCACATCCTGCTGTATTTTTAGCTGAATACACAGACTTCCAGACCGAAAACAACAGCTGGGGCAGGTGGGGCAGCAGCTTTCCTGTATCTGCACACTAGGTACCGGTACCAGATGACCCGCCCCAGACCTGCCACGCTCGCTACAAAGCCTAGATGCTGCTTCAGCTCCACTCCTGGGCCTTCTGCTCGGCCCTCAGCCTTTCCCTCTTCCAGCAGGGACGCCCCGGGGTCGGCTGGGCCTTCTGTGGCAGGGAAGGCCTCAGGGGACTAGGGAGAGGAGGCTGGAAGGAGTTTGTCTTTGAGTCTCTCCAGAAGCAGCAGAGCCTTCACCGCCAGCATTCTGCAGTCCTCATCTGGGTCCTTCTCGGCCACATCTGGCAAAGATAAAAATGAAAAACAAAAGGCAGGTCACAGGCCCAGCCACTTTATCTCTTCTTTTGAGTCTTCCTAGAAGAGCCACCTGCCAGGCCCTGAGCACAGATACCAGGAGAGACACCTGGCTGAGAGTCTCCACTGCATCCCTGTGCCCAAGGAATGTCCCCCCTCAACACAACTGGGGCTGGGAACCCGGCCAGCACGGCAATGTCCTCTACTATGTGAGGGAGGGACCCGGACCACAGGTCACAGGGCCCTGCCCCACCCCCCAGCACCGACCTGGGATAAGCTCTGTTGGACATGCAGGCAGGGGATAGAGCTGGTACAATCCTGCCCTGGAGGCTGGGAAGTGGAGCGAGGATTTGCACACAAGCCCAGGAATCTCCCAAAGGCCCTGGCCCCTCCTCTGCTGGCCACACCTTACATGGGATCAGTAACTGCCTTGCTGGGGGAGAAGCAGGCCTGCTCTGTGCCAGCCTGCATGAGGCCTGCAAGGCCCAGCTGCACCGACACCAAGTAGACAAATACAGCTGCAGCCAGAGGCAGAAGACCCTGGCAATTCACAAAGGGTCACTCACTGCCTGGTTGGAGTCCGGTGTGTGGGAGGATCTGGAATCACGTGCTGCCCTAAGGCCTTCTTAAGCCCTGGGACCCAGGAAGCTCGGGACTAGATGGGAATTGCCAAGTCAAACCAGGATCTCAGGTATGTGAAAAAGGGGATCCTCTGCCTACGCCTGTCCTGTGCTGGCCCCAATGCTGCCTGACCCCCTTGCACACCCCAAGCCAAAGAGACCAGCTGAGGGCCCGGGGCCCCCATGGTGGTCCTAGTGCTGCTGCCCCCAAAGCCCCCAGAGAGCCATGATGTGGGGCAGAGCCCTTGGGGATGCAGGAGGCTCAGGACCTTGAAGAGTGTGGCCGCCCTGCCCCACTGCCATCAGCAACTCCACACGGAGGGGCATTTCCTCATCTAGGCATGGCAGGGGCCACTGGGCAGGCATCAAGAGCACACTGCTGGGCTCGTCTGGGGCCCTCACTGTCCCTCCAGGGAAGGAAAACCCAGCACAACGCCCGCTGTATCACCACTCAGCACCCACGGCACCTGCCTCACTTCTCCAAGACATGAGCTCTGGCAGTGAGATGGGTTGCCCTTGACCTGTGACCCCAGCCTAGGCACAGGGATGGCACAGATGACAGCATAGGTGACAGCCCACTAGGGCCCACCCTTCCTGCATTCATCAATCCCACACTCTGCTCCTTATCCCTGGCACCCTGCAGTTCACCTGAACAGATGACCAGGACCCTGCAGTCCCCAAGAGTCACCCAAGGCCACCACCATCACCATAGGGAAAGCAGCTTCATCCCAGGATCTTGCCCAGTCTTCCCATCATGGGTCCCATACCACAAGGCCCTGAAAAGGACCCGCATTGCCAGGTGGTGTGACCACACATGAAATTTAGAAGCAAACAGTGACACCACACCAGGGGCATCCTGAAACAAACAGCCATAGACGCTGGGGGACATGCTTGGCTAAAGGAGCCAGAGAAGCAGCAGTTAAGAGTACTGCAGGAGCCTTGGCTGGATCTTGGCTCATGGCAAAGGGGGAGAAAAAGGTCACTATTGGGAGAGCAGGGCCCTTGGGACTGGGAGGGCCTGTCCTCAGCTCCAGTTCCAGGACCTGGTGTGAAGGGTACAACGTCTGCCGCTGACCTTGTACAAAGAATGTGGTGGGGAGCTGATGCACAGCCCGCGGCTCCAGGAAGTCTGAGCTGGGCCCCAGCATCTGCTGCGTTACCCTGCTACATGGCTCTGCTGCACAACCGACACGGGTTTGGGATTTCTCGGAAGGAATGGATTCCCACATGAAGTGTTCTCTCGGGTCCCCTGCAGGACTCCCCGAAGTGACCACGGCCATCTCCCCATTTTCCTCATGGAGGGATCACCACACAGTTCTTGGCACCAAGAGGATGGGTGCGCCCATCAGACACAGGGCTGGCCTACGACTTGCCTGGCCATGCTCAGGCTGTCCAAGTCGCTTCATGCCCCACGTGGCCACCTGCCCGCCTCACCCACATGGCTGGGACCAGCACTCACCTGCCAGCCAGGCCCTGGCTTCCAGCAGCTCGTCTGGCAGGTCCCCCAACAGCTGCTCGGCAGGTACACTGAGGAGGATGGAGGAGACTGCAGACAGCAGGCCCTGGCGCACGTAGCTGCCAAGCAAGAAGGCGGGAGGGCTAAGCCACCAGCTGGGCTCTGAGCCTTTGGGGGGGCCCCAGCCTGGCGCTGCCAATGGGAGCAGGGACAACAGCAGGCCAGGGCGCCCTTCCGCTGCACTCAGGAGACCCACCTGCACACGCCTAGCCCCACTCAGCCTTGCCGGCACACTTCCTCTTTAAGAAGAGCCAGCCCAAGCTACCGCTCAGCCACCACTATCCACTTCCCAGACTCCTCCCCAGACCACCACAGCCATTGGCGACTGGCTGGCCCCCAGCGCTGAAGGTACTCACGCGTCGCCGTGGAAGCGCAGGGCCCACACGAACTCCAGCAGGGCCTTGCCCATGGGCACCGCCACCTGCAGACAGGAGGGAGGAGTGGGCAGGTGCTGCCGCCCCCACACCCCACACCCAAGGGTGGGTTTCTACTGCTAGGTGGCAGCAGGGTCAGGCCCATGTGAGCTTTGGGGATGCTTCGCTGCCCCTGTGGAGCGTCACACAGGTGGGCCCCACCTCAAACACCTGTCCCAGGGCCATGGGAGGCTGAGGAACATACTCCATGCAGCGCCCCATGCCCACCACCATGGCCCTCCCCCTGCGTCAGGCAGGACAGGCCACTCAGTGCTCAGCCCTGTCACATGAATGCTCGAGATGACATGGTGGGACCATCAGCTTCCAGTCCCAAACTCACGGTGCTGTTCACAGCCAGGTACATCAGGGCCCCTAAGGTGTGGGTCAGTCTTCCAAGAACCAACTGGTCATCTCCCAAGAGGTCAAAGGTCACCAGAGGCCTACAGCAGACTTGAGTGAGTGGCGACCCCAGCTGCTGGGAGTTCTGCAGACCCTTTCTCCTGCAGTCACCACCCAGACACCCAGGGCACCAAGAGCCACAGGAGAGGCACACAAGGCCAGCCATGGCTCCCAGGACCCCCATGCAGTGGGGGTCTGGCTCTAGCTGAGGCTAGATGAGGAGGTGAGCCCAAGGCAGAGTCAGCTGGCACTGCAGCACCTCTAGCCTCTGCATGACAAAGGCAACAAAGCTGAGTGTCCTTGCCACAAAGCTCAAAGGCACAGGGAACCTTCCAGAAAATACCAGGTCATTTAACTCAAGCTCACAAAACCATCCTGGCAGAGGTCATGACCCTGTTCTTGCCAGAAGCCCCACCACAGACCCGACCCTGGGAAGCCTCATGTCTGCAGGGTGTGTCCAGGGATCCTATGCCCCTGATCCACAGGCCTCCACAAAACCACTCACCTGTCAAAGTGCTGAATGAGGGGGAAGAAAAAGTAGCCAGCCACAGAGCTGAACCTGTTGGGGCCTCCTGCCAGTCTCCGGTGGGAGCCCTGCAAACAGACAGTGCTCACAGAGGGGCCAGGCCTGTGCAAGACATGCAGCTGCCCGGAGCTGCACAGCCCTTGGCTTGTCTCGGCTCTCTCAGGCCCTGCACAGACGGTGACGGGACCCAGCTGGGGCTCCACCCACACCCATGGTGGGAGCTGCCCTAGGCCCAGACCAGGATTCCCAATCTTGCAGGCAGGACAAGGCCTGTTGGGGTGGCCACCCTGGGCACTGAGGGACACTGAACAGCCTCCTGAAACCTCCCGCCATTCCCAGTAATAACCAAAACTGTCTCCAGATATCACCTAGGGTGTGGCAAGACCCCCAGCCTAGATGGACCCTGACAACAGAGCACCTGCCAGGTTGTTTCTAACCTAGAATTCTTAGGACCTTTTCACTCCCACACACACGTTCATGTTTTTTTGTTTGTTTGTTTTTGTTTTTTTCCCTTTTTGTCTTTTTTTCGTGACTGGTAACGGGATCGCAACCCTCAGTGTCGCGCCCGTACCGCGACTGGCAATGGGATCGCAACCCTCGGCGTCGCGCCCGCACCACGCTCAACCAGTGAGCGGACCAGTCTCTACATGGGATCCGAACCCTTGGCGGGAGTGCCACCACACTCCCAAGCGCCGCACTCTACCGAGTGCGCCACCAGGCCGGCCCACACATTCATGTTTTAAAACCACACCAGCTTGACCCTCTTATGGTGTCTGTCACAGCCCTCAGCTTGCACCCCAAACTCTCCCTTCAAGGAATGCCAGTGTGGCACCATCCCTGGCCTCAGATTTAGCTGCCCCCTCAGTGCAAACAGCACCTGGAGGCATTTGACAGCTGTCCCGTCGGCCAAGAGTCCCCACCGGACTGGGGCCCGGCTGACCTTAGAGAAGCGCCGGGTCTTGCTTCTGATACGCTCCTCCACAACCACTCGCCAGACAGGAGTTGCAGCGCTGCCAGGCTGGGAGGCAGCCAGTGCCGGTGAGCTCTGGGTGCTGAGACCAGGGGAGCTGAGCTGTGGAGCCCTCCCAAGGCGCCCAGGCCAGGACAGCTCCTGAGCAGCCAGAGTCAGGACCTAGAGGAGGGGAGAGACCATGGAGGCATCCCACGGGGGAAAGCCAGCTTCTCAAAGTCAAGTTATCAGCCACATGGTCACAAAGCCCCACAGCAGAAATGGGGCCCCATGGCCCTCAGATCTGTGGGAAAGAAGGCGTGTTCTGGGAACAACAGAGAAAGTTCATTCCAAGAACTTCAGACTCACTGAGGTTTACTGGAGGGACAGGGGGCAAAGGCAGGCTCAGGGCTCCAAGATGACAGTGCCTGGCCGGGGGAGCCTCCCCTTTCCAGAGCTCACTCCTTCCCACCGACCCTGCAACCATTCTCCCTTCCCCTAGGAACTCAGCCTCACAGGCAAAACCAGTGAGGCACGGACACACGGCACATGAGCAAGCTTCAGAAACAGGCTAGGCAAAGGACACCAGATCCAAAGACCACACAGCACATGGCTGCACTCAGACATCCAGAACAGAAAGCCAGAGACAGAAGTGGACTGGGGGGTGACAGGGGTTGGGAGAGAGGACTGGGAGTGACCACTAATGGGTTTGGGGTCTCCTGGTGTGAAGACATTCTGGAGCTGGACAGAGGCAGTGGCCACACGACACTGTGAACACACTAAATGCCACTGAGTTCTTGTCCGTTCCAGAATGGTGAGTTCTGGTGTTTCCTTAGTCTTTTTTGTTTTATTGTGGCAAAAAGTGCATAAGATTTACCATTTTAACCATTTTTAAGCATACACTTTATTGGCATTAAGCACATTCACACTGTCATGTGACCATCACCCCCATCCATCTCCAGACTTTCCCATCTTCCCAAACTGAACCTCTGTCCCCATCAAACACTGGCTCCCACCCCCCTCCCCCAACCCCAGGCAACCCCATTTTATTTTTTTGTCTCTATGAATTTGACTATTCTAGGGATCTTGTATAAGTGGAATCGTACGAGGGTACTTCAAAAAGTTCATGGAAAGACTTGTGTTATCTTTCAACACTATTTTTCCACAGACTTTTTTTTTTTTTTTTCCTTTTTGTCTTTTTTTCATGACCGGCAACGGATCGCAACCGTCAGTGTCGCGCCCGTACCGGCCTGGGACCGGCAACGGGATCGCAACCCTCGGTGTTGCTCCCCGCACCTCGCTCAGCCAGTGAGCGGGAACCAGTCTGTATGTGGGATCCGAACCCTCGGCGGGAGCGCCGCCGCACTTCCCAAGTGGCGCACTGTAGCAGTGCGCCACCGGGCCGGCCCCTCCACAGACTTTTTGAAGTGCCTTCATACAATATGCGTTCCTTTGTGACTGGCTCTAAGTGTTTTCAAGGCTGGTCACTGTTGAAGCAAGTGTCCTTTTTTATGGCTGAATAATATTCCACTGTATGGAGAGAACACATTTTGTTTATCCTAAAATGGTGAATTTTATATGGTGTGCAAATTATACCAATAAAGTTGTTCTTTAAAACAAAGGACTCAGCCCCTGAAGCCCCACAGCTGCGGGCTGCACTGTCCCCCACTCAAGAAACAGTAGGTAGGCCTGTCGGGGCCTCTTGTCAGCGACACAGAGACATGGGGAGACCTCTGGCCACTGTGCACGGAGCTTTTGACTCCCTACACTAGGCCAGCTGGGGCCTGACGTGGGGACAGAAGCCTGCTTGGGGACACTTACGTCCAGGATGTCCATGCGCTGCCGGAGGCTATAATTCAGGGCGTAGAACTGCGAGGTCAGATACTCAGCAACCTAAGCCAGGCAGAAGAGAGGCCACTGTGGGCCAGGACCCCGGTGGCCCACCCGGGGCGCCACCTCCAAGCACCGCACAGCCAGCCCAGGCACAGGATGGAGCCGCGAGGGCTGCAGCTCTGAGCATGTCCTGCTGAGCATCCCTGGCTGGGGCCACCGTGCAGGGACTCACCCCAGCTGGGTCCGTGACTGTGACGGCCACCAGAGCTCTCTGGCGCAGCACCTCGAATCCCACCACACATGTCCTCTCCTCCAGGTGCAGCAGCACCTTGGCCAGCTCCACGCTCACCTGCCCACAGTGGTCAGGTGGACGCCCCAGCCCTCTGCTGCAAGAGCCAGGGCTGCCCACCAGCCGCCTGCCCAGGAGAGGCTCCTGCCCTCCCCCACCACCCTGACCCCCGCCCCACTACTCACCTCCCTGGTGGCTGCAGGGTTCCTGTAGATCAGGCCCTCAAGTGCCCGCAGGGCCGCCTCCCAGTGCTCCATGTCCTCAGACGTGCTCAGGGCTGTACAGAACCCAGATAGGCCCCATCAGTCTCCGCCATGACCTTAGTAGGTGGTGAACACCTGGGACAGATGGCTTCCTGAGGGTCCAGCATGTCACAGTGAGAGCTGCCGGAGGCTCCGCTCGCCCTGCAGAGCACAGAGCTGTGGGTGGGACCTACAGCACAGTCTGCCAGGCCCACCTGGGGTCCCACGCTCACCTTCCACATAGTCCCGGACATACGCTGGTGCCTTGCTGCGCTTCAGCTCTCTGTCCCCCGACATGTCGTACGGGACAAACTCATCATCACTGCGGAAGAAACAAGATACACAGGACTGCATGTTGCCCAGTGAGAGGAAGCACCCAAAGCTGCAGATTCGGGTGCCCCCCACTATCTTCTTCTCTGACGGGGGCCCAGTTCTAAACATGCTAAAATTCACCCCAAGCCCCCAAAGGCCAGGGCTGCAGCGGGGCTTTGTGCCCACAGGCACTCACCTGCAAAGTGGAAGGGAAGGGACAGTGAGACCGTGGCAGGCCACACCTGGTGGCCGTGCTGTGCTGGCTCCAGCGCCTACCCCACAGCTGCTGTTCTGCAGACCACCGCAGCGGACCCCTACCTGTCCAGCTCCGAGTCAGGGCCCTCTGGCTGTGCTGGGTTGACACTGCTGTCCACGGTCTCTGCAGGGGTCTCTCCGACAACTGGCGCAAGGGATGGGCTTTTGGGAAACAAGGAAGAAGAAACCTGTCAGGGGCGCCCCACACGGGCCTCTGCTCACACAGCCTCCATCCAACAGCAGTGCCCCTTCCACGCCTCTAACTTCTGTCCTGGCTACTGGAGTCCAGGTTGACAAGGTCCACACAGACACAGGCGGGCATGGGGCACAAGATCCTCACCTGGCCCCCAAAGAGCCGTCATGCACAGGCCGGGGCATGGCCAAGGCCAGCATCTCACGGCTCAGGTCATCCTCTTCATACTGCAAGTGCACACAGGCCAGGCTCAGGCTGCAGGTACGTGTCACTGCAGAGGTGGAGGCAGCCAAGGCCAGGCCCTCCTCTCCGGCCACCGTCACAGCCCAATCTCCTTTAGTGACCTGGCCTCAGTCAGTGTCCACCTCAGGCCAAGGGGGGTGCTGGGTGGACTGGAGGCTGGAAAGGCCCTTTTTCCTCCTGTTGGCCCCCATGCTAACAGTCCCTGGGTCCAGCCCAGAGGCTCAGCAGATGACGTTGGGGCAACATCTGACACCCAGGCCTGACACTGCCACAGTCAGGCCCACGCCACACAGTGGGCAGCAGGGTGGCCAGCCCCCTGCTTCTGCCAGCCCAGAGCGACCCAGCGGCCCCTGCACCCGTCTTCAATGGGGCTCCTGTCTGGAGTCTAGAAACATCCACGGAACTGCCCTGGGGACCATGTGCTCAGGCACCTGGCCTGCGAGACCCCCAGGGACTGAGGGACATGTCTGCTACCCATGTGAGACACTCTGTGAGCCTGGACCCCAGGAAGGTGAAGGGACGCTGGGGCTGGAGTGGCAGCCACTCAGGGAGACCCAGAGCCTTACCCCCACAGAAGGGACATGGAGGGCACAGCCCTATAACCTTACCTGGAACCTCAGGGGAGGCCCCTCAGAGTGGATCCGGGAGCTGACAACCTCAGCCACAATCATGCCCAGGCGGCGCACAGGGGGCAGGCTGCTGTCTAGGCGGCACTTCAGGCCAGCCATCATGCTGGCCAGCAACTCTGGAAGCAGCAGACACACACTTGAGCACTCCCAGGGCCCAGGGCCAGCATGTGTGCCTGAGCTGCCTGCTCAAAGCCTGCTCACCATCCCGGCTGTCCTGCAGCTCCGGCTCCCCTAGGTACGCCAGGCAGATGAGGATGGACTTGCTGACGTAGCACTGCTGCGGCAGGGGTGTGTGTCGGACGGCGCTGCTGCTACCCCATGTCTCCAGAAGCTCCTTCAGCACCTGGCAGGCGGCATGACCCCACCACATGGGCCTCAGTGCCAGGCCGCCTGCCAGAGAGGCTCTAGCACAAGGAGCCCCTCCCTGCTCTTCCCCCCAGAGGTTCCTGCACAGCCCTTCTCCTGGGGACACCACAGGGGGCAGAATAACAGAGTGTGTGCTCACCTGGACGAGGAGTGGGCGCCGCTGGCTGTCCATGGCCAGGTACCCCAGCAGGCTATGCAGCATGGCTGTCTGCAACAGAAGCCAGCATCCTGTCTGCCAGGCAGAGACTGCTGCCCGGGGTGGGGAGTCCCAGGGGCTGAGCACTGTTGTGCCCAGGAGCCTGGCAGGCAGCTGACGAGTGCAGGGGACGCCCTCCACCTCTCAGTGAGAGGGACCCACTGAGAGGCTCCACCATCCCACAGAGCCAGAGCCCAGTTCTCAGGGCATGCCCGATACTGTGCATGTCAACTGGGGCACCTGATTTTTCAGGAAATTTCCCATTTCATCCAAGTTTTCAAATTGATTGTCATGGGGATACTTGCAGTATCTCAGACTTCCTGTGTCTGTCTTGTGGCAGATGTCGTGCTGGACACCGGGGGTCTGCCCTTCTCAACCCACTTTCTGTCCCACATGCCCAGTGAGTGTTTCCCCTCAATGCTGCTCTTCGTCCTGTCTTCTCTCTCCTTTTCTTTGAGATTCTTTTTGCTGAGCTTGGAGATTTGATTCTTGGCCGGGCTACCAGGAACATGACTGCAGGACATTTGCTCCACTACTTGCAGGTCTTGCTTTGTGGCCTCACCTGCTTGTTTAATGCTCTGGGGGCTTGAAAGACTGTAAACTCTCAGGTTTAGGGATGGCAAATGCACATCAGGACAACCCCAGTCATCCTTCATCAGGGGTCTGTGGGAAGTACCTCTAGCCCTGTTTCCCTGAAACTACGTCATCTGCCCACACAGGAATGACAGCTAAGCAATGCAAAACCCCAGGCTGAGAGGCGTCTACCTCTCCTGGCCCATCTCCCCAAGAGCTCTGAGGGGCTGTAGTGTACGTGGCTCCCTGCTACGTGGCCAGGTGGAGCTGGTGTCATCTCTACCGCAGCGCAACACCACCGCCGCACGGGAGCACGGTGAGTCTTGGTAACAAAGTCCAATCTTGTCACCACCCCCTGCCCCGCCTGTCTTTGTATCTCACCTCCTCCCATCCTCCTGCTCTCAGCAGCCGCCCGGGGGGCCAACTGCCAACCCAGGCCAGCCCAGCCCCTCCTCTACCTCCTTCAGGTCTCTCCTCAACAGAAAGGTCTTTGTGGACCCCCCCGCAGTGCCCATCCATCTCCTGGGCCTTTTCAGCACTGGACACGTCCCACATAACCGCCTCACGAGTGGCACCTGCCTCCCTGTGGTGTACACTCCACACGGAGGGGCTATGGCCTTCTGTCCACAAGCAAGGGCTTGGCACACAGTGGGCGTCCAGCAAACCTCTGCTGAGTGAAAGGCACGTGAGCCACAGGATGCGGAGGCCCTGTTCTGTCCCCGACTCCATGGCCAGCTCTGCCCCCCTGCTCCCATTCTCTGCAGCCTGAGATGCCCTGGCCCTCGCTGGCCTGGGTTTCAGGACACAGGGACAGTGGCAGGCACACGTCAGGGAGGTGCATGGCCTCCGAGTCCTGATAGATCGACCTCCTTGTGCTCAGGATGGAGCTGGTGAGGACAGCTCCTTGAGTGGCCGAGGATCAAGGGGTGCGTACAACACTTGCTCAGGGCTGGGCCTCGTCAGGGCCCATCAGTGGGGCAGCACCATAGCCACCCCTTTGCGCACCCCTGCAAGCCACAGTCCCACATGACGTTTCTGGGCAGCAGACCGTGCTCTAACCCCACTCTCCACAGCCCTCGCCTGTATCCTCACCGTGCACCGGTACTGCAGAAGCAGAAGCTTCCTGGTCATCACAAACTGAGCCTTCTTACTCTTCACCACCAGGTTCCCCAGCAGCCGCGACAGGACTTCAGGCCTGCAAAGCAACCGGGAGGGACCAGAGTTGCCAACAGCCTCAGAGGCAGCAGGAGGAGAGGTGGGGACCCGAATGCTCAAAGACCTGGGCTTGGTTAGGCCCCACACATGAGACTCTAGATCAGTCCTGGACAATCTGAGTCAGGCCTTCATGCTCCCTCCTCCCAGGTCCAAATGCGGAGACCCAAGGATAGCCTGGGCCCTGGGCCCGAGCTGAGAGAGAGCAGCACGAGACGGCAGCCCTCAGCAAAAGCGGGGGCAGCAGACCTGTCACATAGAGGTCCAGACAGCGAACGCACTAGGTTTCTGAGCACTGCAGTCTTTGTAGCAACCACTCAATGTGCCACTGCAGCAGCCACAGACACATATGTAAGTGAGCGAGCACGGCTGTGTGCCAATAAAGCTTTGTTGTCAAAAATGTGGTGAGCCAGGTTTGATGCAAGGGCAGTAGTTTACAGAGCCTGGGCCGAGCTCCCACACCCTTCAGTGAGTGAGAGGCTGACAAGCCCCTCTAGTCAGCATGGACAGACAAGGCTGAATTTCTCCCTCACTCACCACTTAAAATTCCACAGTCACAGATATGAAGATTTTAAAAAGTAAAAAACAAAATCAAAAAGAAAAATAGAGAAAGAAAAACTATGCGTGGGCTGGCCAGTTAGCTCAGTTGGTTAGTTCAACCTCATAACACCAAGGTCATGGGTTTGGATCCCCACACCGGCCAGATGCCCTACCCCACCACCAAAAAAAAAGAAAACCTATGCAAATTGATCTACCACCTTGGAGCAGGGAAGGGTTAAGCTAGAAACATCCCAGAGACAGAAGGTTCCAAACCCTAAGTGAGCATCCGTCATGTAAAGTGCTCACGACAGGGACAAGAATGTCTCTGCAAAGTCACAAACCCACTGACATGCCTGGGAAAGAGACCTGAAACGTGGTAAGAGCTCTCACAAATGCGCAAGTGCCAGGAGCCCAGTATAAACACCAGGCAAAGGATGTGACTGAGTAGGTCACACAGAACTGCAGATGTCGCACACACACTGCCACGCAGAATCCAAGAACACAAAGCCAAACATGGAGGCAACAGGGGTGGCAGAGAGGTGGGCGCCTCCTCGCATGCTGGGGGTGCCAGCAGAGGGCATGCGAGCTGGAGGTGCTAGGTTTCACGTGGCCCAGTGACCATGCCTCCAGGACTGCCACCTGCAATCACCTGCTACGGAGGACACACAGGTATGAGGAGCTGCTAAGGAGCAGCAGGGCTACTGTGAAGACATGGCAAAAGGCACAGGGTGGGGCTGGGGACTCGGGCCGCTCTGTGTTAATACGGGGGTGGGGGTAGGACCCCACAGCACTCGTGCCTGGGGACCTCTCAGAAGCTGCTTTTCACCGCACACCCTTCTATAGGATTAGAGCTTTTTATAGCATCTATGCTATTTTCATAATGAAAAAAAGGAACCCTCTGACCATAGATAGTCGCAGCCTCGGCAGAGGGGACAGTGCATTAGACATGGAAAGCCAGACGGGCCAAAGCTGTGGACATGTGGGGAGGCCCAGAACCAGGCCAGGCAGCCTCATCAGAAACAACAAAGGCGGCCACACCAGCACATGCACTTGCACCGCTGTGACCAGCTGGGAATAGTGACTCTGAGGGAAGAATGGCCACCACTCACATCCCTTGAGCATCTACATGGGGTGCTGGCTGCAGCATGCACCCAGGAAAAGTGGCACGAGGGAGGGCAACGTAGTAAAGTCCATGCCCCCCACCCAGCCCCAGAGACGCTGGCGGTGGGAAGAGTACCTGCTGCTTACCCCGGAGCTGCCTCCACGAGCCCCACTAGCACGGCCTCCATGGCCCGGTCAGGCACGCGCTCCAGCAGGCGCCAGCAGACCCGCTGCCACAGGCAACTGCCCTGGGTGAGCACTGTCAACCGGGGCACCAGCACGCTCAGGAACTCCTCTGAGGGACACACAGAGGCCCTGAGCCTCGGGAGCTACACCACCTGGGTGGCTGAAGGGCGTTCACAGCCCCACAGGCTCACCAGCAGGGACAGCCCAACCCCAGACCCAAGGGGCCCAGGACAGCCCACACCAGCCACCCCCAGGCCCAGCCCAGGTGAGGGAATCCCCCGAGGGCAGCTCGCCTGTGACTGCTGCAGGATGAGCAGGACACAAGCTACTCACTCTGTCTGCCATGGACACAGACTTTCCCCAGGAGCTGTGACACGAAGGAAACGGAGCAGTCTGAGCCACCTGGCACAGGAAAGCAGACTGAAGTTACGGGGGGACACCTGGTCAGGTGGAGAGACAGACTTTGTTCCTGGACAGGCAGACGCCAAATTGTAAAAATGCAAATTCGCTCAGCGTCTAAGTGCAAATCAATCTAACTCCAACAAAAATCTAAGTAGGACTATTCTTAACTTGAAAAGCCAATAATACCTGCTTAAGAAGATTTATACACATGAGCTCACTTAATTGTCACAATGGCCCTAAGAAGCCGGGACGAGTACAGTATCACAGGATGAAAATGGGGCATCAAGGGGGACCCGCAGGGAAGAGGGACTCCCACATCTGTGAAGAACATGAGAACATGGAAAACAAGAAGAGAACTGGGTGGCACAGGCCCCACTACCTGAGCTGGGACACAGAACTGAGAAGACAACAGACACAAAGCCAGTGTGAAGGGACACGGGGCGCCAAGACCTCTAAAGGGGCCTTTAGGATCAGGCAGAGATGCAACCCCTGAAAGAATGCAGCAGACGTGTTCCAGATGTGTTCTCCACACGTTCAAGGCTCTTCAGGCATCACCAGCACCATCTGCGGCTCCAAGCTGGAGCTACGTTCAGAAAAGGTAAGGCAGGCTTGGGAGGTTGCTGCAAGAATCCAGATGAGATGGGGTGGCCGGGGCCAGGGTGGGGGACTTGCGGGGATTTGAGGGGACCTGCTCCCTCATGGGCTCTGTAGGGCACGAAGATGCAGGACACAGGGGTTCCAGGGTGCTAGGCCTAAGCACACGGAAGGACACACTGCTGTGAACCAAGATGGGGACTTGGCAGCTGGAGCAGCCACATCCAAGGAGCATCTCTGCCCTCGGCAGGATTCATGAAAGGCATGAGAAGGAAGAGCTGCAGGGAGAGGCCAGGGCTCCTGCCAAGCCCGCCTTGCCGGTCCACAACCTGACAGCCCACTCCAGCCGACCTCGCACTGCCCCCAGACTTCTCCTCGCTCCTTGAACACACAACCAGGGAAGCCTTGTTTCTGATGCTCCAAAGACAGAGCGAAAACCTAAAACACCTTACAAGAGTGGGAGACTCAACGGCCAGTGACAGAGCATGTCCCACCACACCCCACACACACATGGAAAGCCCCCACGTTGGCCATCAGCATCTGCCTCCAAACCCAAAGAACCTCAAGTTCCTCTACTTGACATCCATATGGGGTGGGCCCCCGAAACGACTAGCAACCAGAGGCACATGGGACAAACCCAAGCCCATGAGAAGAAGCGGGCTCTGCCAGCAGAAGAGGAGCCCCTCCTGTGGCATGGCGGAGAGCACAAAGAACACACATGCTACCCAGATGACATAGCGAAGTGAGCAGGCCCCATCTGGATGACCCCACCAAGTGCCCAACCAAGAGCTGAAGGAATCAAGGTCAGCCCCACCTCCTCCCAAGGTCAAAAGATGAGAAGGACGAAACTGCAGCATGGGGTCACGACCATCTCAAACAGGGGATGTCAGCTGACCTGCCTCAGGCACACCCTGGTCATGACTCTGGACAGAGAGGGAGCGGATGACGGCCCCAGGAGAGCGGGCCTCACCTCGGAGTGAGTCCACAACCACCTGCAGTGCCTGCACAACCTCCTCGCCCAGCAGAGGGAAGTAGTTGTGCGGGAAGAATTCGGCCAGGTTCTCCCGCTGCAGCCGGTTGCCCAGGTGATCGGGCAAGGCCACCACCTTGCTGAGCAGCGCCTCCTGAAGCGGGGGGAAGCCAGGCTCCACACACTGCCGACACTGCTCCTCCATCAGAGCCACCATCCTGCTCTCACTCAGAAACCTGGACAGCAGCCGTGCCATCTTCATCAGATGAAAGCTGGGGTTAGACAAAGCAGGCGTGTTGGGCAGGTCCCCAAACCCCTCCATCCTCCACACCCTCTTCCGGCCACAAGGAATCCCAACCACCGTTATTAAATAGACAGTCCCAACAACTTAACACTTTAGTCCTAACTCATACACCAAAAGAAAAAATCTTAATTCTACTCCAGAATAACCACAATTAGTAGGAGGCAGGTGCTGCTGGGCCCTGTGCAGCTTCCCCAGCTTGGAATTACACTGGACACTCCACCTTATCTCCTGGTCCACACAACCTCTAAAAACCCAGCTTCTCAGAGATACGGCGTCCTCGAAAAGACTAGCGCGATCTGATATTGAGCCTGGGAACCATCCGGTCTTGGAGTCCAGGTCGGACACATGTCAGCCATGGGTGTGCTTGAAAACGTGAAAGGTCCCGAGGCAGCCCCGTGAGTTAGCAGCGGTGCCCGGGGTGCCTCACTGCAGAGTTGCGAGCCACAAAGGAAGGGCCACAGGAGGATGGCAGGTGCCAACCACCCCACCTGTCACCCGGTGGAGGGCAAAGGCTCAACCTGGAGCTGACGCTGTCTCTGCCCTCTGGGATGCGAACACTCCCACTCTTGTCCTTCTCTGAAGAAGACACGACGTGGGACGGGAAGAGAGCAAGGGCCTTCTGGGGATAGGGGTAAGTCCCTCCCACTGCAGCAGAGGTGGAAGCAAACAGCTCTTAGTGTTCGGGGATTCAGGTGTGCGAGCTCCCTTCTCTCCCAGCACCTCTCAGGACCTGAGTCCTCACAGAATTTAGGGAACCTGCCGGTTGGCCACCCTCCCGGCCCTTTTGATGCTTCTGATGTGACGACCACCCCCAAGGCCGGCCCGCTCACCCGGCGGCGCCCTCGATGCTCTCCACCAGCACCAGGAAGGCCTGGCCGGCCGGGCCCTCCAGGAAGAAGCTGTCGCACAGCCGCTCCAGCTCCGGCGCCAGCCAGCCCATGCTCAGCGATGCGGCCAAACGTCTGAGCAAGACCGAGAAGTGCACCGCCGCGAACTCCTCCCTCTCCGCCGGGAGGGCGGGACCCCCCGCGGCGCCGAGGTACCGCTTCAGGGACCCGAGGGTGCGGAGCACGCGGCCGCCGTCCTCGGAAGACGACAGGGCGTGAACGGCCTCCCGGACGGCGAGGCGGACGGCAGAGGGCACCGGGGCCATCCTGCGGGCGGGTCCGGGAGCCCTGGAGGGAGAAGGACAGCGACGGCGACGGTCACCAGGCTGCCGACTGGGCCCGCGCGCCGGCGATTCGCCACGGCTGCCGCGGTCCCGGACGGAGCTCGGGCTTGGCCCTGCCGGGCGGCCGCAAACACAATCCCCGGGCGCGGACGGAGCTGCCGCAGGCTTCTGGAGCCTCCGCGGCCGGACCCCGCGGGCGCTCGTGGCGAATCTGCGGAAGGGGCGGAGCGGCGGGCG